CTTGATGACCATACTGTATCTTGCTTCCTTGACCGCAGTGTGGATCATGCGGATTCCGCCCAGCCTCCTCGCGGCCGTTCTGCTTGGGTCCTCCGATGGGCAGCTGTTAGCGGTGAGGACGACGACAAGGTCGAAAAGTACACCGTGCCAGTGCACCGTGTACACTCTCAGACTGTTATTGACTTTTTATCTTTAGTTAAAGAGTGTTTTACACGGCAATAAAAAGTACTATTCCCTGAATTTTTATGTAAGATTTTGTTCGTTAAATTGAGACTTAAAGTCAGTTTGCTATTGACAAAAATAGTTGACAATTTAGTCTTTATAGTGAACAGTATTGCACATGGTTACAAAGGAAATACTACATATTGCTGCTTTAAAAACTACGTGAGCAAAGGATAAAAAGTGAATAATGGAGAGAAAAAAGTCAAACGAGTCTGAGAGTGAACAGTGTTCTGGTGTGCCACACAGTAGGCGAGGCGGCCTAGTAGTTCTTATCAAATACCCGCATACCAAACCCACTTGTTTCCCCAAATCTAGACAGTGTGTCCCAAAATACTATAACATGTTATTTTACACAACATTTTGGACTAATGAGCACCGTGTCTATTGCTGGAGCAGTAGAGCAGCCAGGTCAACTCTTTTTTACTGAATCAAGTTTACTTTTTTACTACTCGTGAAGGATGAATTGTTTTTATCAAAACAGACAGGAGCTTTCACCCTGAGAAAACCTTACAAACTATTTTGGGCCTTACAAAGAAAAGCAGTTTGTATAACAAAGTATTTTGAGCATACGTAAGCTTACAAAGAAAATACTTTGTAATTTACGAACTATTTCTTCGTATAACAAAGTATTTTAGTTTGTTATACGTATGCTCAAATTACTTCGTAAGGTTTTAAGAGTGCAGTGACAAATAGGGAAATCAATAAAGAACTTTCAAAAAAATATTCAGGTCTCGACAACTTTTGATTCTTTACAAGGGGAATATAGGCCAACGACTTAATTTGTTACATAAACATCAATTACTCAAAAACTACAGGGAGTTGGGTGTCTTACCTTTGGGCTTAAATTCGTCTTATAGTAAGCAACTAGAATACAAAATACAATCATGATGCTACAATTATTTTAGAAAATTATATTTCACATGTTTTTTACTATACGGTAACCTTAAATGGCCTGTCATGATATTTTGGGACACACTGTAAATTTGGGAAACCAAATAGTGTACTTGGTACGCAAGGAGGTTCACAAAGTATAGTATCTTCAGTTTGACTCTGAGGAGAAGCCAGGAGTCCTAAAGGCCCTAAAGGGGCGAACCGCGTCTTGACTTCTGACCGATTTCGGTGCTCATACTAACGACCAAAATGTCCGCCATGCGCTTCCGCTTTCGGCTTGCGTTTTTAAGATTCGTCAGGCAGAGCTTGAAAACGTCTAAACAGTTTGCATCTGACGTTCAAGAACTTTTCAGTTGACTATTTTAGAGAAATGAGGAGCTTTTTAAGGCCTGTTCCAAGCGCCATCAAGTCCCTTGACCTCAAGATGCCCCAAGCAGACGACACAACATCAAAACAAAGCGTCGCTGACGAACAAAATGTCTGCCATGCGTTTTCGCTTCCGGCGTGGCTTTCTAAAATTCTGCAATGAGCTTAGAAACGTCTAAACTGTATACATGCGACATTGAAGCGATCTTCAATCAACTATCATAGAGAACCGAAAAGGTTTATAGAACTTGTTCGAAGTGCTACCAGCGCTCTAGGCTTAACGAGGCCTTCAGCAGACGACACAAAATGAAAACAAACTATGAGGAATTACGCATAAGCATGTGTGTACCAAGTACTAGTCGGTGGTGTCATGGTGGTGTCCACAACGTGAAAGAAATCCAAGCCTTAAAATAATTGGTGTGTGTGCAGGGACCGTACGTTATCGACGTAGAACACGCGGAACCATGCCCGTCCAAGTTGCTTGACCGTCCATTTCCGTTGACAGTAGGTGTCACCAGGTATCGCCACAACCCCCTCGAGAAATATTTTGGCGGAGACTTCACTACGAGTGACACTTTCGACGACAGCGTAAATGTGAGTCTCTGCGCCCTCGCTAACGCTATTTTCCCTGCATTTCTTCCCTCGCCCAGAAACAAGTCTGAATAGGAGGAAAGCGAAGGCACATAGATATAAAGTCAACAACTGCCTGAGAGTGTAGTAAGCATTTCTTCATGAAAATGCGCAATGTTGAGCAGCTCCTTGAGTGTTGTCGCGCACAATTCATTCAATTCCGTGCAATGTCAAGCAAAAAGAAAGAAGTGTGTTCTCTTGCTTCTTCGCAGGGCTCCATGGAGCTCGCGTCCTGGAGCTCTCGCGGGGGCTGGAAGGAAAATGCCTTGGTGATGAAGTTCAAACGGGTGTGCGCGTCGTTCAACACCTACCTCCCGGACGTATGGAACCATGTTCGCAGCCACCTGTATGGGCCCAGCGGCCTCGTTACAGACTGCCCCATACCACCGGTGAGAAAAACAAACCAGCACAGCAGAATGGGCCCTGTTTGGGTTTTTAATCAGGGAATAGAACTGAAAGAACGTCAGAAAAATCTGTGCCCACTCTAAATGTTGTACAGTAAAGATTCTCCATATTATGGTGAAAATGTTCCATATTACGTTTAAAAGAATGTGACAAAATGTCACGTTCGTTTGAGTATTGTGTCACATTCGTTTGGGGTGTGAAGTGGCCAAAAGTCAGCTTGTTCACATTTAAACGGACGTGAGACAATGCTCAAACGAACGTGACATTTTGTCACGTTCGTTTCAACGCGATGTCACGTTCCTGGAATGAGAGTGAACTTCTGTACATGCAAAATACCAGAAAATTTTACACTCAGGGGAAAGGTCTGTATCTGAAATTGTAGGCCGGGCGGGCGCATCAGCGTGTACTATCTGGATCGATCTGGATGATCAACATGTCACCGCGATGTTTGCGCGAGAAAGTAAACATCCTATACGATCCAAATATTTTAAAGCAGCACGAGAACAAAAGTTTACGTTGGTTGTCTGTTGAATTTGAATGTTTAGCTAGTAAGATGATGCTAAATGTTAAAAATTATTTCAATGTGTATTATCCGCTCGCACGTTACGTGTAACAGAACCTTTTCAAAAAAGCGCTACTTCATAGTTTTCCTGCAAATTTTGGTGATAAAGGGCTGACATTCTAAATTTTCTTCATAAGAATATTTGAAGGCTATTAGGTTGTACAGATCAAACAACCTACACTGCAAGAAAAAAACACAACAGAAGTACACAAAATCCTCGCAAAATTTTTATCGGGTATTGATTGTACTTTCAAAGTACAATAATGGTTGTACAAAGTACAATGTACAATGGAATCGGCATGACGAGTGCTCTGCAGTCTAGACCTCGTTGTACTTCCTACAGTCCCTGTACTTTTGTTGTAGTATTCACACTTTTTCTTGCAGTGAACGCGGCAAAGACGGTCCTTGCGTTTTGCCAGGATCTCCCTGGAAATCACCTGTGTGTTCACTTCACCGTAGGATATACGGGAGAACGAGGAAACGTTTCAGGTGTGGGGCCGAACCCGAGACAGTTTAAAGCGTCATGGTATGCACGGCAAAAAAGCTTCCTGCTTTTCCCATGATCTCCCTGGAAAGCGTCTGTCTTTACGAGGGGCTATCTGGGAAAACCAGGAACAGTCTTTGCTGTGAGTGCATGCAACACCATCTTTCCTCAGCGCAGATTGTCGTACTTTTGCAGGGCTCGTACAGCCTTCATAACCTGTCGACCAGTATGCAGTCTATGCCGATCCCAGCGCTGTTCTACGGGCGATGGCGCTTGGATGCTAGAGCCTTCCACAAAGATAAATGCTTCATGTGTGTGCGTGCCATTGGACGAGTCAACCCCAAAGTACCTCCTAGCTCCCAGGGCTAAGCAAGCGTGCTACTGGCAGCCATTGAATCACACTAAATTACTATGTAGGCGTGCCAATGCATGAAATTACACATGCACTTCGTAACGCACAAATTCGTGCGTTCCGAAGTGCATGCTTAATTTCATGCATTAGCGCGCAGAAAAACCTACAAAGTAATTTAGTGTGAATGCGACGGCGAAGTTAGTTTGAGAGTGACAAACGGTGAAAATTTACATTCAAACACCGCACCGCTTTGTCGAATTACTTAGGGTGTGACAAGCAATCAGCAGGCGAACTGCACTCTCAGACTCGTATTGTCTTTTCTCTCTCTATTATTGACATTTAGTCCTTTGCTTACGTAGTTTTTTAAGCACCAATAATATGTAGTATTTCCTTTGTAACCATGTACAATATTGTCCACTATAAAGACTAAATTGTCATCAGTTATTGACTATTTTTTAAGTCAATTGCGTATTTGACTCTTTGTCAATAGCAAATTGACTTTATGTCAATATAACGAACGAAATCCTACATATATATTGAGGAAATAGTACTTTTTATTGCTGTGTAAAATACTCTTTAACAAAGGACAAAAAGTCAATAACAGTCTGAGAGTGTCACATTAAAACGAATGTGACACAGGTACCGATCGTCATATTTCGTGTCACATCCAAGCGAATGGACACCCATGTACTGCCACGCCACATTCCTTTGAATGTGACGTGCCCAATTTGTCACGTTCGCTTAAATGAGATACGCCAAGATATTCAGATTGAGGGGTGTTACGTTCTTTTTAATGTGACAATTCGGCCGTCCTGTTTAGCGACTCTGGAGCTCAATACGCCTGAGATTCTGGCCGCCTCCACTGGTCTTCATGCCCACTGTACGTACAGAGCCACCTTATAAGTTAAAGCTCCTGTGGGTGGAAAAGCAGCACCTGGGGCCTCCGGTAATACGAATTTCACAATAAAACGTGGTCTTTGTATTGTTATAGTTCCAATCCACACCCTTTGTCTATGACTTAGCGCAACGTTTTTCATATTTAACTTCAATCTGTAACGTTACAAGATAAAAATAAAAGGCGGCATGAGTAGAACAAGGTATTAGTTTTTATTTACTTCAGCACATAGTTTTGAATCGTGAAATCCTTACAATAAAGCGCATCACATAGATCTCACACGACAAAAAACGTTTGATTCTGCATTCATGATGTAGACACAAATTAAAGGCAATTTCCCTCTAAAAATCGTTAGACACACACAAGAGAAGTTTAATCCTAATACCGTAAATCACAATCAGAACAAATTCAGACTACGTAACAACGTTGCGAGGGACAGTGCATAATGTAACCGGCGCAAGTTATTAATTAAGCCAACATTTAAGGAAAGTGTATGCAACTCCCAGTTTAACTGCACGCATTTTGGAAACCATTCGGTCCTCAGATGGCTGGAGAGCTAAGGTCGCAAGACGGGCAAGCTGATCTGGCCACTTGTACGCAGTCACGAGGGCAGGCAGCTCTCCTGGCGTGGGCTGAGGCGGCCACTTTATTCCAAGATACTTTCATCAGCGATCCGTGGCAACCCCAGTGGCACCACATACAGCTGCCGTCTTCGCCGCCACAGTACGAGGAGTACCCAGAGTACCGGTTCTCGGAGGTGTAGTAGTATATGCTGCGTCGAAGGTGCAGTCGAGGGTTCCTCACGAGAACGTCCTGAATGGCGGGCCGGTGGAACCAAGCGTGGAGGCAGGATCCTTTGCTGAAGGCCACAAGCAATGACGTGAGGCAGGGCACCGATGTAGGGCTAACAGCCCGCAAGAACACGTCGGAAGGCTCACAGCCCATGTCCAGGGACTGGAGGGAGTGGAAGTTGGACAGGGCGGGTGCCACGCAGAGGTCCCAGAGATCCGCTGAAGCGCAGACGTCTAGCTGTACGAGAAACTGAGCAGAGCGTGACCCAACCAGTGACCGAAGGAGAGCTTCGGGGTTCGTGCAGGGGGGATAGAGCAACAAGGTTCGCAGATGCGGCGCCTGAGAAAGGAAGTCCAATGCACCAGCCGGGATGAGGTTGCCGGCTGTCCACGACGGTGCGAACGACTCGAGCTTCGGCAATGATGCCAGCTGCGACAAGTCTTCACTGGGGTAGCATTCTAAGGAGCGCAACTCATTAAGCTTGGCCAATGATGACACAGGGACGTCAGTCAAAATATCAAGTTGCACGGCCTGAAGAGTTGCCGCGTGGGTCTTAAGCAAAAGCAGGAGGAAGGAGTCTGCATCACGTGCGTGGTAGGTGAGCCGAGTTAAGGAGGGCCTCACGTCCAGGTCTCCTGTTAGAGCCGGCAGTGGCTTTAAGACAGAGTTGGCGAAATGGAGCTCCTGTAGACCCTCGATGCAGTAAGCCGCCTTCATAAGCGTCATCATTACCATAGGGCACTCTCGAGGGTCGTATCTTATGCGTAGATCCAGCTTTCTTAAACCACCAAGGGCAGTGAGCTTGCAAATTACTGCCGTCGCCGAAGCAGCCTCGCTAACGCTCTCCACAATCAACATAAGCTTGGTGACAACGCAGGCGGTGCCCACCACAAAGTAGCCCAGGGTGGCAATGGACGAATTACCACCGCACTGCAACGAGGAAATGCACGGCGCGACACCGAACGCAGCATGCAGCAAGTTCCTGTCCCAGTCAGTCAGTTTGACTTTCCGCCACAGGACCCGGTGCAGGCAGAGCTCTCGGAGCCGACGACACACCAGGCGGCAGCGCAGCAGCTCTTCGGGCCTCAGGTAGGCCAGCACGGTCAGCAGCACGTCTTCCGACAGCGACAGGAGCATCTGCGGCACAACCAACATTGGATTCAATTACACTGGTAAAACTAAAGCGAAACTCTATGCTTGAATCAAGCATAGACTAGAAATTCCCACTGGTGAAAGAAAGGCATTAAAATTACGCCCTTAAAGGGCGTAAACGATTTACGCCCTTAAAGGGCATAAATCTTTAATGCCTTTGGGAAGGGCATTAAAATTTTGCTTGAAATTCCTATACCATTTACGCCCTTCCCAAGGGCATAAACGATTTATGCCCTTGCAAGGGCGTAAAAGAGTATTTATGCCCTTAAGGGCGTAATTTTTATGCCTTTGTTTTACCAGTGCCCCCATGCATTTAGATAGGGGGAATCTTGGCGGATGAGCCTGTTACGCTTGATTTCAAGCGTAAACTGATTACGCTTGAAAACAATGGGTAATACTACGCTTTAGTTTTACCAGTGTAGGACGCAGATATGTCATGCTCTCATGTCGAGGAACTTAAGAGTACTATGATCCAGGAAGTGGCATAAGGGGGGCGCGGGCACTTTAATTACCTTCAACTTCAGATTTTATTCTATAATTGTGCCTTTGAATGGTTTACATCATTGCAACAAATTATTCGACTCAATTCCTTGCAGTTAAACGGAGACGATTCGGATGGAAAAACACTCTAAATGTTGTACTACAGTGAAGATTCTCCAAATTATGGTGAAAATGTTCCATATAATGGTGGTGCAGCTGACTTCGTAACATACAATTGAAAATTCACTGTACCTTATAGAGAATTTGACGAATTTCGTTGGTATTATGGAGAAAATCTCTACCATATTATGTTGGTGCAGCCTATCACCGTAAGACATTTTACTGTGAAGGATACAACGAAACTAAACCCCTTTACGCTTTTTCGCGGATTTTTTTTACTCAGGAGTGTACTCAGGGAAATTTAATGGAAAATGCATGGCAACGACTTAACCAGTCGACATGACTGCGTTGAAAATATATTGTCGACTTTAAGGGAAGAGAGTTGAGTTTTCACAATTAACGGTTTCCTTAAAATGCCATATCGTAGAACGGCGTAATATGAGACAAATTTCGAGGTTTTTTGTGAATTTCCCCTTTTCAATTTCAATTTGGGGTACTGAGGAGTTCATCACTTGTTCATTGACCCTTTGGCTACACTCTCACCAAATTTCAGATTTTTAGGTGCAGTAGGGACCTTTCAATAACCCTCGGAATGCCGTCCCATATTTCCCTGCAATGTGGGGTAATATATGGGACAAAAGAAAGAAACGTTAAAGAAGTAAAATCGGGAGGGGAGAAAAATGGGTGCCACTAAAGAGAGCTGGAAAATGTAGGAGAAGTCATGAGTTTGCCTGTCACATGAAAACACTAAACGAAGAGCAAAGATGCCGGTCAGATACTAAAACAAATTCGAGTTATAATCATTATTAATTGAAATTATTAACAGTGGATTATGTTTGGCTCCATGTTTCAAGCGAAAAGAGGTGTCTCTATTTTCCCTGCAAGGTAACAAAATTGTGTTCCATCTGGAACAGGCAGCCCGGGAGTTGACATAACGGAACCAAATTTTATCCTGGTTATGTTGACATAATTGTCTACAGATTAAAACCTCGTTAGGACGAGAACCTGAGTCCTAACCGAGATTTCTGGGGAGGTTTATACTAACTTTAGAAAACTTGTTAGAATTTAGAGATTTTTCCGGTGGTTCTAAACAATCCTGGCGAGTCTCTGATAGCCTTCGTGCGCTTCCTGTGAGCTGCCACGGCCTCCTAGATCGCGAAAAAAAATTCACGGTGGTCTTCCGAACAACCGCTAGAGAGCAACGCGACAAAAACCGAAAAAAGTGCGCTTTGTCTCAATTTTCCTTCATGTCTCATATTACCCCGTTCGACGGTAAGCACTAAAAGTTTCTTCTCGTAACAAGCCAGGAACCAAATTGAGATGAGTATGAATGAAAAAAGTCAATACGAGTCTGAGAGTGTAAACAGAGTGTACTGAGTACACTGTTGAGTTTGCAGAGTAAGACCACTCCATATATGGTTTCTGTGATTAAAATCTTAAGAACCACGGAACCATGTCACTTAGTTCTCCAAATGAGGTGAAATTCGGACACAATTCAATTGGTCTGCGTAGAGTCTCTTATGCTCTGGTACATTTCAAGAGTATTCTCTTTTACCCGTCTACTGTTCTAAAATGCAAGGGGAGTTAATTTCAGTCGGCTCCTTCAACACTAGATTCATAATTATTCATAATTACATTTCAAGTCATCTCCTTTGGCCATTTTGCGCAAGAAAGACATGCATGAAAACTGCGGACTTGGGTTGAGTTTCTTCCGATGAAATGTAGAAAGTAAAAGGGGTCAAGTTAAGTGCCATTTTTCAAGTGAATTTTCTTCCAAACTGCTGGGAATAGAGGCAAATAACTGGGTGCAATGATGCAAACCATCCTAAGGCATTATCATAAAATAAAATCTCAATCTGAAGGTATGTCTTATTATTCCCTTCTTCCGCTTCTGAACCACTATAATTCGTTTACTCACCGATTCCTCCATAGCGGGGGCAAGGGACTCCGACGAAATACTGCGCTTGGACGTCCCGGAGCTGCAAACCGACAGTCACATTTCATTTCGACGCTCGTGGATAGCACAGCACGCACGAAATTTCTAGCAGTAATAAGGCGGTGGTGCACGAAAGCAAACATAATACGAACTAAATTTGTTTATATTACACCCTCAGACTCTTATTCTCTCCATTATTGAATTTTTGTCCGTTGCTTACGCAGTTTTTTAAGCAATAATATGTAGTATTTCCTTTGTAACCATGTACAATATTGTTCACTATAAAGACTAATTTGTCATCAATTATTGACTATATTTTAAGTCAATTAGGTTCTGTTGTGGTTGGAACCTGCTGTGGAAGCCTATGGTGGAGACAAGCACATTGACTTCAAGACGATATAAGGAACAAAATCTTACATAGATATTGAGGAAATAGTACTTTTTATTGCTGTGTAAAATACTCTTTAACAAAGGACAAACAGTCAATAACAGTCTAAGAGTGTACGAATCTTTTGGGGCGTTTCTTTGTAAGGTACAAGGAGAAAGCTTCATAGTCCGAAGGAAAAATGGCTTCATAATATGTTTGCACAAAATTCTTTCTATTAAAAAGAAATGGTATGTTAGTTTTCTTCGTCAGACTTTGAGAGTGTATGTCTTTTAGACTAACTTTAGGGGGGCCTTATTAGGGGGCAGGCAGAAGCCCCTTCGCCCCACCCCAGTATCCACGCCTCCTCAAACTACACTCTCAGCCGTTTACTGACAATTTCTCATTAGCAGACGTATTTCTGTAAGCAACCATAATACTTAGTATTAAGTTCTTAAATACTTAAAAATTTCTTTGTAATTTACTAAGAAAACGGTAATATCAGTACAGTAATTAGCAATTGCTAAGTAATACTGACAAAAAAAAACTAAGTATTATAGTTGCTTACAGAAATGCGTAAGCTAATGAGAAAAGTACGATTTCAAGAAATCCTAGGAGTCACGAAGTCAATGTCAATATAGTTATTGTGTAGGAGTGTGGAGAAAGGAAAAAAGTTGTGTAAAAGGGATAGGGGGTGGTTTAGGTACGAATGGCAAGGGTACCAATGTGGTCGATGTGCCACCCGTCAAAATTTAAACTTGGCAACAAAAAGAAATCAAAATGCCGTAAAATTTGAAAAATTCCAATGCTAATGTATTCCACACTGGAACATCAAGGCGGTTCTCTAGTCATGTTTTCTTCAATTCTGTGTAATAGTTCTCATTCACAACGTAATAACACTACGACGGTTGGTTTGACAAACTTTATAAACTCAGGAGGGATAGTTTCGAATCGCAGGTGAGTCTTGTTGGAGGAACATGAGCACTGAAAGTCGCGAGGTGGAGCGATGTGGTCATTAGGGGTGGTCGAATGTACACTTTTTTCGAAATCTCAAAAGTTAGATGGCGCATTTTGTAGTATTTTTTCTGCTGATTCCGAATATGTACTTGGTTTTGAGAAAGGAGTGAAACTGAGGGCGCTACCAGCCTTTTAAGTTTTGAAAAATTGCTTAAAATGCGAATTTTTAAAATTTTACTTTTTCTCCGTTTGAAAATCACAGTACATCTTCGGAATCGGCAGAGAGAATGCAACAAAATGCACCATCTAATTTTTGCATAATTTTTGCAAAATGGATATTTTGACGAAAATATTGTTTTTGACCACCCTTAAGAGCGTACTTTTCTCAAAATGTCAATTTTGCAAAAATTATGCAAAAATTAGATGGCGCATTTTGTTGCATTCTTTCTGCCGATTCCCAAAATGTACTGTGATTTTCAAACGGAGAAAAAGTAAAATTTTAAAAATTCGCATTTTAAGCAATTTTTCAAAACTTAACACTAGAAGCGCCGGGTTTTCGGATTACCGTAAAGCGCCGAGCGGGCCAATTTGACCCAAGGGCATTTTCGTCGTACAAGTCAACTCTTGAACCGTCATTTTGACTCAAAGGGAACCTAAAACGGATTTGTAGACCCTTAGCAAGTCAAAGGATAAAATTTGGTGCACAGGGGTCACAGGGGACAAGGTAGGCAACCCGCAAACCATGATTTGCTGTTCTTAGTGTTTTCTACAGTGCCTCGATGCCGAAACGTTTTTGATGATAATAGATGGCAGAATTCTAATCGCCTTGTGATCGAGATAGTGATTTTTAATAAATTACTGAACCGTCGACCATTAAGACCTGGCCAAACCATCAAAGCATAGCTGCAAGGCATGCCCGGAAACCAGGATTCATAGCAACGGAGAAGCTCATTGTAAGGAGGATTGAGTGCTCGATTGAGTGTGTGCTAAAAAGGCTGGAATGTAAGAGACATGTGTAAACACTCTCGGGTCAATAAACTCGCCATAACCAGCAAGGCGCGTAGTGGATTCTAATTTGCGTCCGTTCGTCAACTAGCATCTGTCCCAACCAGGTTTGCTCCTGCTGTATCCCTGAGATGGGTTTCCGTGTCGCCCATCGTCCTGACCGGCTTGTTCAGACATCTAGGGAATGAATAGTTGCCGAACTGGTTAAAATTTATTGAGGCAAGTGAATTACCTTGAAACACTAGACACGAGAGCAACAAAGTGGACATCGGCATTTTATTCATCTCTTTACGCATGAGTAAGTGCTGTAGTCCTTTGACCCAAGGATTCGGGCTGAGCGTGCGATGAGTGCCACTGAAGGTAGACTAGTGGCTCGGTGTTCGAGAGACACCTTAGGGCGTTTAGAAGTCAATCGGGTCACCCAAAATGCCCAAGACATTGGCAGTTTACGTCAAAGGAAGCTGCACGATGTCTCCAGCCAGGAAATGTATTGCGGGTTGCCTACTTCGTTATATACGCGGACCTAACGCATTCCTCATATGACGTAAGTCATATTTAGTGGTGAAGAGTCAGTTTATAGCTCGTTACGTTGTGCAGAAACGCGAAAATGTGGTCAAAATGCCGTGTGGGTCAATTTGGCCCGCTTGGCGCTTTACGGTAAAAGTCAATTTATCTCGGTCAAATATGGTCCGAGAACGTCCAGATTTCGAATTTAGACGCATTTCATCATTCTAGGAAAAGTCAGAAATTAGGGGGCTGCCACTTTCATTTTCAAAAGTGGAAATTTCAGTTCAAAACTCAAAATGGGTCAAATTGGCCCGTTCGGCGCTTCTAGTGTTAAAAGGCTGGTAGCGCCCTCAGTTTCACTCCTTTCTCAAAACCAAGTACATATTCGGAATCAGCAGAAAAAATACTACAAAATGCGCCATCTAACTTTTGAGATTTCGAAAAAAGTGTACATTCGACCACCCCTAGTGGTCATCGTGCTAACTGAATGAAAAGAAACATCAAACAAAAACTAGAGCTAAGACAGAGCTAAGAAATATAATTTCGTTTTATTGATTCAGTAAAGAGTTGATAAATGAAAAAATTGTTCTATTTTTTCAATATTTTAAAATCTTTTCTTCAACATGTGTCCTCAAAACATATTCAGATATAATGTCATAATTTAAACAGATTAATTTTGCGGTAGAAAATACACATTGAAAATGAAACAAACACAAAACTCACAATGAGTGTAGGTTTCCATGTTGGTATGACTGTGTAATGTTCCGCGCATGAGCAAAGACATTCCCATTAAAAATTTTCATCAGGCAGTGCCAATGAAAAGACTGCGTCCAAAAAACCCTCTTGTGCTATTGTTACATCTGTTCTATCACGGTCGCGGAAAGTTTTTTATTCGAACGTCCTTTTTCAAAGAAGCGACCGTTTTGGGGGTAACCTGTACACAAGCGAAAGGAGCCATGCTATTGGTTGGGTTTGGCTCGGCTCCCCCCTCTCTCTTCCCTTTTCGTTGACGAGTCGAGCTTTGCTATGGAAACAGTGATTTTGACGGCAATTTTCTCAAAATTTATCGCTAAGATTTCAACCATATTCCAGAATTGAAATCACGTCTCAGAATTCTACCAGTCTGCAAAATCTCATCAAAATCGTACAGAGAGGTTTCGACTTGCATAAGGGGCCACGCGATCAAATCCCAGCGAGGCTGAATCCTGGGGGATACTATAAGGCTACTTCGTGCCTAAAAAGTCAGTAAAGGTCTGAGAGTGTACTTTGCTATAACAAGTTACCTTTGATTGTAAGACATGAAGTAATTTTCAAGGTCAACAGAGTGAAGTTTCCAACCGTACTCCCTTTATAATATGAGCGCACACGAAACGCGCTCGACCGACTCCCCGGGATGAATGCGCTGACTCAAACCCACACCGCTCCACCATCCCCCCCCCCCCCCCTCGTCTCGGGTGTCCGGCCGCCAAGGACCAAGGACCCGACCCCCACTGCAAGGGGGAAGCAGTTGCTCGCTGAGTCTGGTGGCGAGGCCCTTCCAGTGTGCCAGTGCTCTGCCCGTGCGCCCCGTGGTCGTCTGCGGCACGCGTGCGCGAAACCGTGCGTCGGCGTGCGTCGTCAAAGCCGTTGCAACCTCCCCGCCGGCAGTACATCGCTCACTGGTGGAACCACGGTAAAGCGTTCACTCTCGGCACGCTACTGACTTTTTGCTCATTTTGTCAGTAGATACAGCACATGTGCAACCAAAATACGTACTTTTCCGATTTTGAAAAACTACTTAAGAAATACGGTAATGAATAATGGACTGACAATTCGGTTTGGTACATAATTTTACAAAAGGATTTAGTCATACTTACTTAGAGAGCAGTAAGCATGATTGTTGCTTATACGAATACAATTTAAATGAGGGAAAAGTCAGTACGTAGTTGCAGAGAGTGATTTACTCCTTCAAGCGTAAGGTTAAACAACATCAATTGCGGGTCACGAATCAATTAAGGGCCATTTTTTTTTACGGGTCGCTTCAAATTCATAAATGAGCGGATCTTTTTCAATTCCGGTATGGGTTTTCCCAAAACCTTCCTTTGACACGTGACAAGGCCCGGATGTCTGAGCAACGACCACAACGGAGGTCACCAATAGGGCAGCAAAGAAAGGACTTGATACTCAAAGGAAAATTGGGCCTACCCGAGGGCAAGAAAATGGGAAAAAGAGATGTTATTGGAACATTTTCAGAAAAATCGATTCATGGAATGAACGGGAACGCCCTTGCCGATTTAGATAAATAAAGGGTGAAGGAATGTAAGTCAACCGTAACGTACTCACTGTAAAGTTACACAAGATATTCGCGTACCAAGCCTTACCCCAACGCGGTGTATGCCGCGAGCGCGAGCCGGCCAAGACTGTCAACAAACTCCTGCCGCGTCAGCAGAAAAGGATATGAGCTTGGCCGAGTCCGGCGACAAGGCGTCTCCGACCGCGCGGAGAGCGGCAGAGCCCAATAACTTCCAAGCCAATGCGAAAGAGACAGCTCTAAAACGTCGACATTTTTAATGGGATTATTACTGTTAACAGAACCCCAACGGTTCAAACGGCATTACCCATGTCAGAAACTTGAACCTAACCTAACGCTACAAACTCAGGGTAAGAAGCAGGAAAGACAGCGGGTCTGGAAAGCGCGCATGGCATTTTCGAAGACTCACTCGGCGAAAATCAGCGGAGCCCAGAAAGCGTAGTGTGCGAAGACTACAACTACCGTAACGAGCGTAACTGGGAGCTAAAGTCGAATTTCTGTTGAGTTTCACTTGCCTCTTCTGGTCTTGGAAGAGGTGTCTGTAGCAGTTGACGGACTCGTTACTCGGCAGGCTACGGCTCACATCTTGAATCGTACGCAACGAAGTAGAGAAATGTTACGCAAGGTTTCTTCCTCAAAATGAACGGGGGGGGGGGGCTGAGCGAACAGGTTGGGATTCGGGGGTCCGGGCCTGCGAAACGTTAGTGGGATGGCTCAAAATGTGATCAAAACCGCGTGGCGCTTGGGGGGTGTGGTCGAGGGTGATCAGCAGTAGAGCTTGGGGGATGGATCAGAAAGTGACAAACACTGAGTGACGCCTGGGGGATGAGGCCCAAAGCGACCAAAACTGCGTAACACTGCAGGGATGGGTCTGAAAAGTAACCAATGCTGCGTAACACAAGGGGGATGGGCCAACAAGTGACCCACACTGCGTGACACCAGAGGGATGGGCGAAAAAGTGGCCAAAACTTCGTAACACTGGAGGGATGGGCCTAAAATGTCAACAGAACTGCGTGACGCTTGAGGGGTGTGTCAAAAGTAACTAGAACTGCGTAACGTAAACAATGGCGATCCTCAGTCAGTACCGAGTTGCCAGTAACTGCACTCGCATTCAGACAGAATTCCCTTAATCACTCACAAATTCAAGTTGCGTAGGTGAGAATGTCGACCGTCAAATCTCGTACGAAACCCCGAAGAAATGCGAGGACTATTACAACTACCGGAACAAGCGTATCTTAAGTGAAAGACGAGTTTCTGCTGAGTTTCACTTACCTGGTCTTGCTTACCGAAACTGAATAGATATGGCTGCCTGTTAACTTCCTTGCATCCGATTCGGGAGGAATTTGACCTGCGGAATGAGAGAACTAAATTTAGATGCAAGCGTGATAGTGCGGTCTGCTGCCTACATCTTGCGTAGTATCTAGCGTAGCGCCTCACAACCTCTCACGTCTTACGGTTCCAGTAGCAGTGTAAAGCAGGTATCAAAATCGATACGATTGCGCACGAGTGGTCGCAATGCTTTTCCTGGGTAACAAGATATTTTAGAGTGTATTGGCTCGGAAATTCTTGAAGGAAATAAGAAAGAGCGCAACTTTCGTCCCCTACGGTTGGGTTTCAAGCGGTAGCCCTACTCATCCGCTCGGCAGGCGAGGGAGACTGAAGTTTGTGCAATCACTTGTATTCCTTTAGCTTTTCGCTTCAAGATTCGCCGAAGTGTCCCAATGTTTGAAAAATGCCAACGACAATGGGATAGGGCTTACTTCTGTTGTTCTTGTTCGTCTTACGTGTCAAGATACTTTGCAGTACCGGGTACCCTAGCAGTCGGGACATGTGATTTGAGAGTGCGCCCTGCGCCCTTTGGGACGTTAGTACTGTACGCAATCCAATGATTTTGAACATTGAAGCCAGAGTGACACAAGGTACGGTGATTTGAGGCGGATTGCAATCGACACTTGCGCTTAAACCTATACCGCTGGGAAAGTTTCGGTAGGGGAACAAAAAACGGTGATCGAAACTCTTTTTGAGAGCTTAAGTCCGATTCAAATGGTATGCAACTAACAGTACTGGAAACTTTCAAAGTGGACGAACTCCTTTAACAAATCTATGATGTTCATTTTCCGTTTCCGGTATGTGCCCACTGACAGTACCAGCACGCCCAGTGTATAAGTCATGTATAAGTCACTTTGCTTGACTTGTGTGTGACTTATTATTTAATCTCAATTCTTGATTTAGCTGGATGTCAAAGGATATGTTTTACTTCAATAATCCAAGACTCAAGTTATGTTCAGCTCTTCACGTTACCTTAAACTTTGCCACCCCGTTCCAGTGTCATCGGCTAGTTTCAGTGACTTCCACTCACAGGGCCGCAGCTTTCAAGTATTTTAGAGCGCACGCAGCCGACACCGACAGATGTGCTCAAAGTGGCATCATTCGTGGATAACACAAATGACATTCAGTGCATGCAACTTCCTTCAATTTGCTTTGCCTTGTGTTCCGCTAGATCCAACTGCATCGAGTCGCTGAGGGATTCCTGGTTCATCCACCCGTTTCTTTCTTCATTGCTGAGGCAGCTGGAGTCATGGCGGCGTTAACTTACGGTGAGCACTGGATGAAGAATGAGTGAGTCACCGCCGCCCTTCAGTTGGGTGATGCAACTTGCTTGCCCAATCGTGCGTGAAACATCGTACCCGATTATATGAGTTCTTATGGGACAAGTACGGACGTTCCGTACACTCTCAGACTGTTATTGACTTTTTGTCCTTTGTTAAAGAGTATTTTACACAGCAATAATAAGTACTATTTCGTCAATATCTATGTAAGATTTCATTCGATATATTGACTTAAAGTCAATTTGCTATTGACAAAGAGTCAATACGCAATTGACTTAAAAAATAGTCAATAATTGATGACAATTTAGTCTTTATAGTGAAAAATATTGTACATGGTTACAAAGGAAATAATACATATTATTGCTGCTTAAAAAACTACGTAAGCAAAGGACAAAAAGTCAATAATGGAGAGAAAAAAGTCAATACGAGTCTGAGAGTGTACTTTTTTCCGTACTTCCGTACTATATTTGTCGGTACATTTTCCGTACGAAAGTACGGAATTTTTTACAGTGATAAGAGAGAATAAAGTCTATGTAGGTCATTCTCCGTTTTCACTCTGCTAGTTTGCTGGAGTGGAGTCCTCCACACTTGTTTTCACAGTGTGTTCCGTGTCATTGGCAGGTCCTGATCTGGGCCCGTGTTCCGTGTGCGAGAAACCGTCGTCGCGCGCCTGCAGTCGGTGCCGCGTGGACTTCTACTGCGGCAAGGAACATCAAGTGCTGGACTTCAGTCGGCATCGCAAGGTGAGCAACCTCCATTTTACACCGAATTGCAACGGCAACCTTCAGGGCAAATCCGAGGGGAAATCTCTGGGAGTTTCGGTGTACTATTCAAATGTTTATCAGTTGCATTCTCTGCACTCTCAGACTGTTATTGAATTTTTGTCCTTTGTTAAAGAGTATTTTGGACAGCAATAAAAAGTACTATTTCGTAAGATTTCATTCGTAATATTGGCAAAAAGTCAATACGCAATTGACTTAGTAAATAGTCAATAATTCATGACAATTTAGTCTATAAAGTAAACAATATTGTACATGGTTACAAAGGAAAAAATACATATTATTGCTGCTTAAAAAACTACCTAAGCAAAGGACAAAAAGTCAATAATGGAGAGAAAAAAGCCAATACGAGTCTGAGATTTATAAATCCGAGGGGAAATCTCTGTGAGTTTCGGTGTACTATTCTAATGTGTATCAGTTGCACTCTCTGACTCGTACTGACTTTTTTCTCACCATCATTGACTTTTTGTCCTTTGCTGACGTAGTTTTTAAAACAGCAATAATATGAAGTATTTCCTTTGTAACCATGTACAATATTGTGCACTAATATGACTAAATTGTCATCAATTATTGACTATTTTAGAAGTCAATTGCGTATTGACTCTTTGTCAATAGCAAATTGACATTAAATCAATACAACGAACGAAATCTTACATAGATATTGAGGAAATGGTACTTTTTATTGCTGTGTAAAAAAAAACTCCTTAACAAAGGACAAATCGTCAATAACAGTCTGAGAGTGTATTTAATCTCACCAACGTTGTTCGTTGGTGTGTTCCAGGGGTGCGGCGTTCTGGCCGAACGATGCAACGACGAGGTGGGGCGCCACCTGGTGGCCGTTCGCGACATCCCCGCCGGCACCATCTTGATGCGCGAGGAGCCCATCGTGGCCGTCACGACGCCGGCAACCCTTCCAGATCAAGTGAGTGCTCCGCCAAGACCGAAGAACACTTCACAGTGGGCTAGAAGACCGGTGGAGGCGGCCAACATTCTAGACGCGTTTTGAGCTCCAGATTCGCTAAATGGGACTCGAACCGAACGTGTGACCCCACTAATGGATTGCTCTCCGATCGAGGAGTCCATTGGTGGGGTCATACGTTCGATTCGAGTCCTGTTTAGCGACTCTGGAGCCCTAAACGCGTCTAGAATTTTGGCCACCTCCACCGGTCTTCTGGCCCACTGTGCGCAGGGGTTTCGAAACTAAGGCGTAAAATTTGGCCTTTCTTGATGCAGCGTACGCCTTGAATTTTCACTGAGTAGGAAAGAGTCATACGATAAGGGTGAGGTATTCCTTAGCGCTCAAATTTGGGTGAGGAAACCACCATCCTCACCCAAATAAACCTGTTTCCAGAATCGCACCAATTCTTGTGACATTGCGTTCAAATTTGAACGAAAAGCACGAATGCACAAAATTGTAAGACCACGTAAAACAAAGCATTTGGAAAATACGTAAGTGTGCTCAGGAATTGCTTCCTACTTTACAAACGATGTCTTTGTGAAACGACTTGAAAGGTTCTCTCTCATCACGTTACTGACTTTTTTCTCATTATTTACGCATTCGTTCTAGCATTTAGTATTTAGTACTTAAGATTTTCTAAGTAAGTATGAATTATTTCCTTTGTAAAATTATGCACCAAACCAAATTGTGAGTACAGTATTTAATATTTCCTAAGTAGTTCTTTAAAAAAGAGAAAGTACGCACTATGGTTGCACAAATTACTTGCACAAGTACTGACAGTGTTCTACGTTCTACGTTGCATATGCCCTTAAAACCTCGTAAAGTTTTTGGCACGTACACTGCAGGAAATAACCACAACAAAAGTACACAAATTTCTGGCAAATTGTTTATCAGGAATTTAGTGTACTTTTCAAGTACAACAATTGTTGTACAAAGTACAATGGAACCGGCATGACAAGTGCTGTGCAGTCCAGGGCTCGTTGTGGTTTGTACAATTCTCGTTGTACTTTCTACAATCCCTGTTGTACTTTTATTGTACCGTTTCTGTTGTACTTTTGTTGTACTATCTACACTTTTTATTGCAGTGTAGCTTATCGCCCTTCGACTTGTCTGTTACAGGAGGCGTGCGTGGGGTGCTGCGCAGTGCGGCCTGTGCGGCAAATGAAGGCGTGCCGAGGCTGTGGGTGGCTCGTCTGTGGGGATGCCTGCAGCCTCAAGGACATCCACGTCCCAGAATGCACTGCGTTCAAGCGCGCCAACTTCCGATACAGCAGAGAGTTCAATTTCGGTGGTGAGACGCTTTCGATTTCATCGTTTGTGACTCATCCGGAAAATCACACTCTCAGACACGTATTGACTTTTTAGCAGATGATACCTTCACACTTGAAACATACTTAAAACTACTATACACAAATGAAGGTGTCAGCGTGCTTTTACTCTCGAGTCCAGAAACCAAGCGCGTATCCCAACAATATAATAGGGGCTGGCGGCCGGGGTGGGCTGGTGTGTCTGGCCGGCTGGCGGTGAGGCGCAGCCTGCGCGGAACTCGACAATCCCTCCGCGGTACAGCGCCAGCGGCACCGGGCTTAAACAATGGCACCCCTCCTCACATTGACAATCCCTCCCCGCCTGCCACGCGCAACAACGCCTCCCGTCCCGATTCGGCCCGGCCTGGGGCGCTCGGGCTCGGCGGCGGGCGGTGCAAGCCACAGCTCGGCACGGCCAGTACCAAAGTACCTACACCGGCCAGCTCGCTCGGGTCTATGTATTTTGTTTCATACACAATTTTAAATACTATCTTTGGAATGAGCCTGCACACTACCCCGTATAAGAAAACCAAACGAGTATCATCTGCTTTCATTAACGTTCGTTGAATGAGATTTTTCTCTCCATTATTGACTTTTTGTCCTTTGCTTACGTAGTTTTTTAAGCAGCAATAATATGTATTATTTCCTTTGTAACCATGTACAATATTGTTCACTATAAAGACTAAATTGTCATCAATTATTGACTATTTTTTAAGTCAATTGAGTATTGACTTGATGTCAATGACAAATTGACTTTAAGTCAATATAAAGAATGAAATCTTACATAGATATTGACGAAATAGTACTTTTTATTGCTGTGTAAAATACTCTTTAACAAAGGACAAAAAGTCAATAACAGTCTGAGAGTGCAGTTTTTTTTTTGGCAGTGTCTCTGGGTCATGATAGATCTCATTTCCAATAGAGGTATTGTTCAATAAGGCATGTCGCTGTGTCAGTGCACTGGTCTGCATCTTTCTGAAATCCAAAGGTGGTAGCTTCTGACAGTTTGACTGATTCTCTTTCACTCCCGAACTCTTAAGAGAAATTTCTCTTCCTACCGTCTAACTTTCTAGCTGATTGACTCTTTGCACTCGTGAAGCAAAGCCCTAAGAACTAATTCCTAGAGGGCATAACTATCTGCAGAAAATAACCACAACAAAAGCACACAAATTTCTGGCAAATTTTTTATCAAGAATTTAATGTACTTTTCAAGTACGACAATTGTTGTACAAAGTACAACGGAACCGGCATGACGAGTGCTGGGCAGTCCAGGGCTGGTTGTGGTTTGTACAATTCTCGTTGTACTTACTACAATCCCTGTTGTACTTTTCTTGTGCAGTTTTTGTTGTACTTTTGTTGTACTATCCACACTTTTTCTTGCAGTGTCGAAGGGCGTAATGAAGTGATTGATGCCTTTGGAAGGCCACTAAAACCTTGACCAGGTCTCTCCTCATTCACGCCCCTTGGCGCTCAAACCGATTGACGCTGTTTTAGGAGCGTGAATGGTTCATGCTCTGATGCGGCATTGCGTTTATGCACTGGTAAAACTAAAGCGTAGCATTACCCATTAAAATTCCCGTAGCTAGTTGCTTGGGTCAATTTCTAGTTTATGCTTCATTTCATGCGTAACGTCTTCAAGCGTAACTTAATGTCTGACTCAAGCATAGAGGTGCGCTTTAGTTTTACCAGTGTGCTTGTGCTTGACCATTTAATGTAGCAAAAGGCATTAAATAATTTTGTTTCTTTGTTTTGTATTGCGTTTTGGTTTTCTGATTTTTGTGTTTCGTCTCAGGTGGCAAGAGCGCCCTACACTGGGACGGGTTGGCTGCGCTGCGGATATGCCTGGCTTCGCAGCAACCAACACTGCGACCACGCCTAGCGAAACTGACGTCCAATCTTGACTTCCATTGCCCTCCGGATGTCCCGGTCAGTGCACTCAACATTTGTTGTATCGAAGATTTAGTGTTACGCAGTTCAAAATATATGTGAAGGCATGTAGAGTGTTTGTAGCCGCGCTCTTATGCTTCGGACAGTCAAGAACGTCTGGATTTCAATTTTATTCGCACGGTTTGCCAAATTTTGTTCAATTGTTATGAATGAGTTTCATAAGGAAGTAACGAAGGTAACCTCTAGTTAAGATGCTGCCGCTCGTGAATGTGCGGAGAATCGAATACCTGCGACGGATATTCGTGAATTATCGAGAATTTTCGTGAATTTACGCATGTTCTGGCTCACTGAAGACCGGTGGAGGTGGCTTTAACTCCAGACGCGTTTTGACCTCCAGAGTTGCTCAGTGGGACTCAAACCGAACGCGTTGGATTGCTCTCCGAGCGAGGAATCTATTGGTGGGGCCACACGTTCGGTTCGAGTCCTGCCAAGCGACTGTGGAGCTCAAAACGCGTCTAGACTTTTTGGCCTCTTAAACTCTAAATGTCTTACGGTGAACGGCTGCACCAACATATTGCGGTGGAGATTTTGTCCATTATTCCAACGAAATTCGTCTAAATATCTATGAGGTACAGTGAATTCTCAATGGTATGTTATGAAGACAGCCGCATCACCATATTATAGAACATTTTCGCCATAATATGGAGAATCATCACTGTACAGGATTTAGGGTGTATGGCCCGCTGTGCGGCGGCAACATTTTTCCAAAGGCGCCTTTGTTGAGCCCGAAATAAACCCCAGCATTGCAAGAGGACTCGACCTTGAACTGACCTCTGTGACCTTGAACTGACCTCTGTGACCTTGGACTGACCTCTGTGACCTTGAACTGACCTCTGTGACCTTGAACTGACCTCTGTGACCTTGAACTGACCTCTGTGACCTTGAACTGACCTCTGTGACCTTGGACTGACGTCTGTGACCTTGGACTGACCTCGATGACCTTGAGCTGACCTCTGTGACCTTGGACTGACCTCTGTGGCCTTGGACTGACCTCGATGACCTTGAGCTGACCTCTGTGACCTTGGACTGACCTCTGTGACCTTGAACTGACCTCTGTGACACATCTGTTGCAGGAGCCGTACGCCTCGCGTCTCCGCGGGGGCTCCCGCGTCCTCCCCTGCAGGCGGGACGAGGCAGTGTCGTGGCTGCGAAACAGGGTCGGCATCACGTGGATTCCAATCGAAGACTTGCAGCAGGCGCTCGGGGCGTTCTTCATGAACTCGCTGAAGATGGACGGGCACCCCAACGATCCGCTGGAGCGGAAGGTAACGGACTGCTTACATAGTTCTTTCTTGAACCACACCGCCAAAACTAAAGCGTACACGCTAAATGTTTTTGTACTAATTGTGTACGAGACATCACAGTTGTTTGTGCACACGAACTTTGCGTACAAATTTGTAGAAAATTTTGTACAATTTCGTACCAAAATGGTGAAAAATGTGCAGTTTTTCGTACAAAAATTGTACTAAAATTTCGTGTGCACCTAAAACTGTGATGTCTCGTACAAAATTGTACATTACATTTAGTGTGTAGCAGCCTGCATTTGAGGTGTGCAGTCTGAGTTCTGTGTTTGTTGTAGTTGTTTACTCGAACGCTAGAGGTCTGCTGAGGCCTAACAGCGCTGATGATGATGAGTGCTGTGAACAATCTATTTCCAATGCGCTTTGTGTCTGCCCGTAGCTGAGCGGCCTGTTCGCTGGCTACTCCCTGCTGGAGCACGCGTGCGTCCCCAACGCCTTCTTCCTGCCCTGGCGCCTGGACGACTCTGGAGTCGGGCACCGCTACGGCCACGTTCTGGTAAGGCGGTAAGGTGGTAGAGTTGTGCGATATCTACTCGTCGCGATGCGATACTAAGCCGTTGTTATATCCTGATATCGTATCAACCTTTGATATATCTTGATATCGTGTCGGCCTTTGATATTATCGTCATATCGTATCGACCTCGATACATGTATCGTCATTTCGTATCGACCTTTGTTGTAGCTTGATATCGTATTAGGCCCTAACCTTTGATATATCTTGCTATCGTGTCAACCTTTGATATATCTTGATATCGTATTGACCTTGGATGTTGTGATATCGTATCAACTTTTGATATTTCTTGAAATCGTATGGACCTTTGATATTATCGTGATCTCGTATCGACCTCGGAATCGTAATACCGTAACGACCTTTCACAAATCTTGATATCGTATTCACCTTTGATGTTATCGTGATATCGTACCTGCAGGTGGCCGCGAAGAACATCGCCGCCGGCGAGCACGTGGCCATCACCTACCTGCCCGACACGGTGATGGGCACCTCCCAGCGGCGCCTGGACCTGACGTGGTGGCTGTTCTACTGCCGCTGCCCCATGTGCAGCGACGCCTCGGAGCTGGGCCTCCACGTGGACGCGTGGCACTGCGGCCACTGCAACCGTGAGTCCAGAGGGGTTACACAAACGAACGGAGAAATCGCACCTAGTTTAGTTCTCATCGGGTGCTAGCTGAGTCGAAAAAACATGAACTTTAGAAATTAAGTATAAATAAATTTCAGGAGCAAAGTGTTGCTTTTCAGGCGGCCATCTAAGGTAAAAAATCAATTGTGGGTCACGAATCAATTGTGGGTCATTTTTTTCCACGGGTCACCGCAGACCCGACGGAGATTGAATCGATTTGAATTTCGCGGTAGACCTTCCTCCAACCTTTCTTTGTCTTTCCAAATAGCGTGTATGTCCGAGCGACGACTGTAACGGCTCCTATCAGGCTTCAAAGGAAGGCCCTTCATAAAGTCGTGAAAATGGCGCCCATCCAACGAGGCGAAAAATCGTATGTTTTTCAAATTGCCACCGTGAAGCTATTACGAGGTATAACGGGACGCCCTTGCTGATTTTGGTTCAAAGTAGGTCAGGGAACATAAATTTACCATAGTACAGCCGAAATCATTCGATGCCATGGTGCGCGGGTGATGGCAAAGAAGCGTTCGCTTCCATGTCAGACCCATTATTTTAAACGAATTTTCCGGTAGTTTTTCTGCTATTTTTTTGTTTTCTGCGCTTCTGAATGACTGATGTATCCCAGTAAATTCCATTTTTCTGCTCTGTCACATGTAGTATTACGATACGAAGGTTATGTTAAGCTACAGCCCCGAATGACAACGCTAGCTCTTACTTCCAGTCTGCCATCAGGCTTTTTTTTGTTGGGGAGGGGGGGGGCATTTCGGGGCTTACATAGCTCCCGGAAGGGAACCGCTCTCCAACTGCGGGCTAGGCACCCGAGGCCAGTCCGGCCCTGTTATAAGGAGTCAAATCAATCCCTACAGACTGAAATAGATAATAAACTGTAGCAATACCTCATGATGACAGGGTGTTGTGTTGGATTGTCTACCACACCGACGGCCCTACAATATGCACTATAAAAGTTTCGTCTCTAATCCAGGACGTTAAACTCACATCTGTCTCACAGTGAAATTAGCCTGTTTATGTATTTTTCCTTTTTGAGTGAAAAACGTGTCTGCTTGGTTTATTGAGAACCAGGGACCTTTAATTAATGAAAATAAGAAAATATCTTGCAAAAGTGGTCAATTTACAAGCAAAAAGACGAAATGGCCCACAATTGATGTGACCCACAATTGATTCATTGTGCTACAGATCCTGCAGTTTTCACGATTCCGAAAAATAAATTCAGAAGTAAATTTCTCTCGTATTTAAGCAAATCATATCCAAATTTGAGCTTCCTACAATGCTGACCCACAACTGGTTCCAAAAATCAATTGTGGGCCAAAACAGACTGTTTTTAAAACAGCCACAGCTTAGTAAATAAGGATGATAGACAGGGCTACTATGCTGCAAAACTTAGTCCAAGGACCATAGTTAAAGGCCGCACATGCACTTTTGTCACCAGGTCAGAATTAAAGGCCTTAATTTGGAATTTTCAAAAATGTGACCCACAATTGATTTTTTACCTTAGGTTAGAAAAGAGGGTTTTTTTTTGGGGGGGGGGGAGGGGGACAGTAGTGCTTTTCCAGAGGGAAGTCTTAAATGCATCACTCGGGTAGTCTTGGAATAATCGTCCTCTTTTTTTTCAACCAATGCGTGAACTTGAAACTTGACAGCTTTCATCGGGTCCTACACCCTTTAAACCTTACGAAGTATTTTGATCATACATATGTACTAACTAGTTTACTTTGTTATACGAAGAAATAGTTCGTGAATTACGAAATATTTTCCTTGTCAGCTCATGTATGCTCGAAATACTTTGTTCTAACAGACTGCTTTGCTTTGTAAGGTCTGAAATAGTTTGGATAGTTTGGAAGGTTTTCTCAGTATATTTTCGTACCTCCCCGTGTTGCAGGCCAGGGCAGACGCTGCTTGGTGACTCGCCCCGCCGGGCAGTGGCAGTGCGATGGGTGCGGCAAGGGCGGCTCGCTGTACGACGACCCCGAGGGAAGTGGCTGGGCAGAAGTGTCGCGCCTCGAGCGCCGCCTGGACGAGATGCAAGAACGGGAAGCGGAGGTAATGTGACGCGACACCCGCCCTTTGCTCAACTTATACACTGTGGCAAAAAGGTACGGAAAATCCTGTTAATTTTTTTGCCAGGATTCTCCGTAGCCCTCTTATCAATATTCTCCGTAGGCTCTTACAGTATTCTCCGTCGGGCCGCACAGTATTCTCTGTAAATCCGCACAGTCTTCTCCGTAGGACCTCGAAGACTGTATAGTCCTACGGAGATCACTGTGCGGTCCTACGGAGAATACTGTGTGGTCCTACAGAAAATACTGTAAGAGCCTACGGAGAATATTGATAAGGGGCCTACGGAGAATTACCACAAGCTGTTTACAGAATTTTCCGTAGCTTTTTGCCACAGTGTAGAATGTTGTATTAGTTTTCTTGCAGGGGATTCGTAGTATTGAAATGTCCCGAATTGACTGTAATAGTGATTTTAATGCTTTAAAGCTTCAAAAGTTCGTGGAAGGCTTCAGATTCACGGGTTTTATTATATCAGTGAATTCGTCATTGCTTAATTTCGTGGTCATTTGGAGGGAATTAACTTAATGTTCAGGGTGTAAGTGGTACTTTTCACTGTAAAGGCATATTTAATTCCCAAAAATATTTGTGGCTGAAAGTCGTCTTGCGTTCCTGGTTCAGACAATCAGGAGTCGTCCTGCTTGGAATTTGCTCTTTGATGATGTTGACCAATTTTAGTGAGGATCCCTCAATTTCATGCCTTCTTTTCTTTAGTAGCAGAGTTTGAGATCAGGGCAAAAATTCATCTGTTTTAATTTTGGAAATTCAAAAATTCATAACCTGAAGCAGAAGCTGAATTTTAGTATTTCCTTACTGTGAGCTTATCGAACATCTTAAGATTTACTATAAAACTATTTCGAGTCCTTTTCAAAACACTTAAATGTAACGCACTTTTCTCAGAAGCAAATATGTACCCTGCGAGAAAAAAGTACGGAATATGCCTGGTCAATAATTTGCCTGGACCGTCCGTACCTGCCCTACTACAGAACTTCTGTCGACGTCCCGTATTTTTTTCCGTACTTCCGTACCATTTTCGTCCGTACATTTTTCGAATAAAAGTACGGAATTTTCGGCAGTGTCTTCAATCAAGCGTACAACTACGCTTCAAGACTGTACGCCCTTCTTGAAGCGTACAACTACGCTTCAAGGCAATTCCCCCATGCATTTAGATAGGAAGAAAGGAGCGCATGAACTCTTGTACGCTTGAAGAAGGGCGTACTGGCTGTACGCTTCACGAAGTGCACCGTCCGGCCAGAGTTTCAATCTTGCGGGAGTTTTTTTCAGCCTTCTTGCAAGGTTCTCTCACAAGGCTCTCTCTCTGAAAGATTTCATGAGAACAGTGTGCTCACTTGGAATTTCCTCGACAGGTGCGGGTGCAGGAGTGGCTGTCCTTCATTGCAGACGCGCAGGGTCCACGCGGCCTCCTGCACGCCACCCACCGCATCGTGTTCACGGCCAAGTTCGAGATGGTGTACCAGTACCTGGCGGACTTCAACAACTCGCAGGGCCGCGGTCTGAAGAAAGTACAAGCAGGTGAGCCAACCGGGAACATACACTCTCAGCACGTTGCTGACTTTTTCCTCATTAATTACGTATTCGTATGAACAGCTTTAATACTTAGTAAGTGTGACTAATTCCTTTGTAAAATTATGTACAAATCAAAATGCTTAGTACATTATTGAATATTTTCTAAGTAGTTTTTTAAGAAAGGAAAAGTATGTATTGTGGTTGCACAAATTACTTGCGTAAGTACTGACAAAATGAGTGCTGACAGTGTAGCGGAACGAAGTACTATCATTCACTTCTGAAACTTCGCGCTCTGAAAACTTAAGGAAGAAGTCCTATTTGTGTTAAGCACAGAAAAAACAGTCATCTTAGATTTAGTGATGTACTCTGAACGCTTCTGAACGGCATTTTCTGTGAATTCATAACGTCCTCCGAAGCAAATTGACTTTAATTCTTCATGGTTTGAATACTTTTGTATCTGCTCCTCCACACTGGTATGCGTGCTGCTCAGTGGACCAGAAGACCGGTGACTGGTGGAGGCGGCCAAAGTTCCAGACACGTTATGAGCTCTTGAGTCGACAAATTGGACTAAAACCGAAAATGTGACCCCACCAATGGATTGCTCTCCGAACGAGGAATCCATCGGTGGGGTCACACGCTCGGTTCGAGTCCCATTTAGCCACTCTGGAGCTCAAAGCGCGTCTAGAGTTTTGGCCGCCTCCACCGGTCTTCTGGCCCACTGAGTGCATACGGTTGAGAGTTGTCTTGTTCGTGCAGTGGGGTTGCGGAACGCGCTGGGCCACCTTCGCGACGTGCTTCGCGTCGCGGACGTCTACCGCCCCGGCCTCAATCCACTGCGACGAGAAGTTGAGAGGGCCCGGTTTGATCTCCTGCAGGCCATCCTCAGTCTCAAGCAGCCTCAAGACAAGGTACGTGCGGCTCCAGAGTCGATCACTGAATTCACAATGCATAGAATTCACAATGCATTCACAGGCATAGAATTTTGCGGAATTTTGTCATGACGCTCTACAAATCCAAGCACGCTATAGCTAAAACGCATGCCTGCCAAGCATGCACTTACATGGCATGCATGCCATGCCATGTACACGCTTCCCGATGCAGGCAACGCCCTATCCTGTATGCACCAGATGCATGCTTCAGTAAGGGTATACTTGGCATGTATGCACTTATAGTGCATGCTTGGCAGGCATGCGCTAGGTAGAGCTTGCTTGCAGGCATGCTCCAGGTAGAACATACAATGTACGCTCTTATTTGTAGAGCGGGCGTGAACGATGTATTTACGTTCTTGAACGACGTCAGTCGGCATATGCCGAGGGATGTTCTTTAAATTGCCTGCAGAACTTGTGGGACGCCAAATGTCACATGACGTTTAGTGTGTGGTTTTAGTGGTGTTCGTAATAGCAGGAAAGTTCCCTACACTGCAATAAAAAAACCACAGCAAAAGTACACAAATTTCTGGCAAATTTTGTTATCGGGAATTTCTTGTACTTTCAAAGTACATCAATTATTGTACAAAGTACAATGGGACCTGCATGCCGAGTGCAGTCCAGGCCTCGTTATGGTTTTTACTATTCTCGTTGTACTTTCTACAATCCCTGTTGTACCGTAGAACGGGGTAATATGAGACAAATTTCGAGGTTTTATGTGAATTTCCCCCTTGTAATTTCAACTTGAGGTGCTGAGGTGTTCATCACTTGTTCATTGACCCTTTGGCTACACTCCCTCCAAATTTCAGATTTTTAGGTGCAGTAGGGACCTTTCAATAACCCTCGGAATGCCGTCCCATATTTCCCTGCAATGTGGGGTAATATGAGACAAAAGAGAAAAATGGTAAAGAAGTATGGAAAATAAACTCATTAGGCGGGTTTGGAGCTGTTTAAGTTCTTTTCATTCATTTTAAAGATGATTGGGGACTATAATGAAGAAGCGATAAAGTCTGGAGGGAAGAAAAATGGGTGTCACTGGAAAGGGCTGAAAAATGTCCAAGAAGTCATGAGTTGTGCCTGTCACATGAAAATACTAAACGAAGAGCATGGATGCCGGTCAGGTAGTAAAACAAATTAGTGTTAAAATCATTATTACTTGAAATCAAGAACAGTGGAGTATATTTGGCCTCATGTTTCGAACGAAAAGAGGTGTCTCTATTTTCCCTGCAAGGTAACAAAATTGTATTCCATCTAGAACAGGCGGCCCGGGAGTAGACATAACAGAACCAAATTTTGTCCTGATTATGTTGACATGATTGTCTACAGATTTAAACCTCGTTCGGACGAGAACCAGAGTTCCAGCCGAGGTTTCTGGGGAGGTTTTTACGAACTTTATAAAACTTGTCAGAATTTAGAGGATTTTCGTTTGGTTCTTAATAATCCTGGCGAGTCTCTGATTGCCTTCGTGCGTTTCCCGTGATCTGCCAAGGCCTCTTAGATCACTAAAAAAAATTCCCGATGGTGTTCCGAACAACCGCTTGGGAGCAACACGACAAAAACAAAATAAAGTGCGCTTTGTCTCGATTTTCCTTCATGTCTCATATTACCCCGTTCTACGGTACTTTTGGAGTACAATTTTTGTTACACTTTCTGTGTACTATTTACACTCTTTCCTTCAGTGTAACCGAGCAAAGAAGAGTGAACGATTTCGATTTTCGTTAATTCAAGTTCTGTGAAACGACAGTGTTCTGCTCTTAATGTTACTTCTTTTCTTTGTTCCAGGTCCTGGTTGCGGAGTACCTGGATCTCCGCGCTACGATCAGGTCCTTTTTGATCGACCCATGGCGGAAAAGTACTTTTCCTCCCTGCTGAATGTGATTGCCATGATGATCCTGTGCTTGCTTTTCGCATCTTTCAGGACAAAAACTTGTGAACAATTGTCCCTTGTAATTTAACTTATTGTACAATCATTACCATTTCCTTTTTTTTTGTACGCCACCGTTACTTGCGGTGAATCAATTTTTATGGTCAAGTTCTTAGTGTTCTACATCAAAACCATATTAATCGACCAATTTTAATCGGCAGAAAATAACTTTTCCTGCCTGCTTGTTGTGATTACATTGTTGTTGGTTCATGTTTGCTTTTCGTATCTCTCTGCACGAAAACTTGCCAACAATGAGCCCCGAGCCGATTTTACTTCTTTTACTGTACTTACCCATTGCCTTATTAGCGCCATCCATTAATTGTGGTATGTTACATTGATGTTAATGTAATCAGTATTGTGTAATCAATAAATGTGGTGAATCTGTTAATCACTGCAAAGACTCAACTGCGATGATTTATTTAGCGTGAGCACTCCATTCCTGTCTGAAACGAATTTCAGAACTCCACTCTGTTTCCACATTTGCGTTGTTGACCTACGGGACTGGCCATGAGGTCCTCCCACAATAAGTGTCAAGAAAGCTATAGCCTCTTGCCCCTGACTGAATCATGATCTAGAGATTTGTAGGGATATCATTCAAAGTTGAAAAGGCTGTTGACGTTGGGTTGCCTATCTACACGGCGCATGCTCACAAAACCCTCCCGTTTTTCGCCAGAAGAAGACCGTTTAGGGGCCTTATGGCACTCGGAATAGTGTCAGGAGTCGGCTGTCTCCCGCTGCGAGTAGGATCTGGGTTCGAATCCCAGACACGGCGGGGCGCCAGAGAGACGCAGCGATCACTGAGAACGAAAGAGTCACCACCATCGCCCTTTCATTGGGTAACGCACGCATCGTTGCCCAAATTTGGGTGACGAGCTCGCGGTGACCAAATTTTGGGCAGTCATAAAATCGTCGCCCAAATTTGGGTAACGTCGTCGGCGACGCCGTGAGGTCCCCGATGACGCTCTTCCGGGGCCACCACGATGACCCATTGTGGCGTTGAGGCCTCCGGTCATCGTGGTGGCCCCGGATGGACGTCATCGGGAACCTCACGGCGTCGCCGACGGCGTTACCCAAATTTGGGCGACCTAACGCCTGTTTCCAAATTTCGGGTGATGAATTTTTCGTCACCAAAATTTGGGCAACGAAGTTGCATCACCCATTAAAAGGGTGATGGTGGTGACCAATTCATTCTCAGTGATGGCTCGGACTGCGAGAAGAAAGAGAGGAAGCAGCTCCTGGAGGCGTCGTTAGGTTGAAGTGTGTTCGGCCAACGACTGACCCTGGCTCTGTATCTTTTCACCAGTTTACCACTTGAATCTGGTATCATCAGTGCAAGTTTCGGGGCAGTGTTTTCCAAGGGAGTTGGTGGCTGAGTGGGCCAAGGAGTCGGCGGCCATGGAAAATGCTCGGGTTCGAGTCCCGGTGGTTTGACAATTTTTCTGAGTTTGGTTTCCAAACTCTCGGTTCGCTTCTCTAACCCGAAGAGTCGGTTAACCATCAGTCTGTGTTTGGGTGATGACAATCAGTGTGATTCGGTGGCTCAGGGCGCAGAGGTAGCGGCCGCCCCGAGAGAAGTACCTGGTTCAACTCCCAGGTGTGGAGATGTTTTCCTCAGTTGAACCTTGACTCCCGTACCACCAGTATCAATATCGGTGGAATTATCACCAACGTCTCGGTGGCTGTGAGCGCAGAGGAAGTGGTCATCACGAGGCAGCACTGGGGTTCGAATCCCAGGTGCAGGAACATTTTTCTCAGTTGACTGCTTGAATGCAGTACCATCACTTTAAGATTAGACAGGCATCGACCCGCATCGACCTATAGGAGCCTCGGTGGCTCAGTGGCCTGATGTGTCGTCGGCTGTGGTTAGAGGTAGCTGGGTTCAAATCCCGGCGGGGTATGGCTTTTATTTTGCACCACGGGGCTGCTCTTGCAGCAGCGTGTCAAATGGGTGGCCTACCTTGACGGCGCGGCTGAGACAAATCCTGGCTATACTAAAATAAGAGACGCGTCTAAGAGACGAGTAAAAGACGCGACTTCCTCTTCCTCCCTTGTCCGTGCCCCAACCCACGCGTGTCTAATGGGTGGCCTACCTCGGTGGCGCACCCCTCTCTCCCTGTGTACTAAGAGCTCTCGGATGCAAAAGAGTTCCCGCCGTCGGCCCCTCCCCCCCCCCTCCCCGAAGGAGAGTGGAGTAGGGCAATCATAAAGGGTTAGCAACCTGACCTGGCTGGTAGCGAACCAGGTCCAACGGGAATCGTGTGCTGCCGCATGGCCTCCAACCAGCCTCCACGGCCCATCGCTCTGCCACCTGAGCTACGACAACACATCTGGCTGTCACGGGCTATCTTAGAGTGATGGTACCGGGTTTGAGAAGTGAACTGAGGAAAAGATTCGCTCACCTGGGAGTCGAACCCAGGACTACCTCCCGCCGGCCGACTCCTCTACCTTCTCGGCCACCCAGCTACTGACAGTAGTATTGGTCAATCTTAGAGTGATGGTACCGGGTTTGAGAAGTGAACAGAGGAAAAGATTCGCTCATCTGGGACTCGAACCCAGGACTTCCTCCCGCCGGCCGACTCTTCTACCCTCCCGGCCACCCAGCCACTGCGAGGTGGCTAGATCATTCTTAGAGTGATGGTACTGGGTTTCAGAAGTAAACCAAGGAAAAGATTCCCTAACCTGGGAGTCGAACCCAGAACGTCCCCGCACCGGCCGACTCCCCAACCATCCCAGCCACCGAGCCACTGCAAGATGACTCGATCAATCTTACACTGTTAAGAGAAGTCGTTATTTTACAACAGTAATCCCAACAATTAGTGTTGTAATTTTACAAATAATAATTCGTAAAATAACTACAAGATTCATGACATGAACAATTGTCATATTTTCGACAAACTTTACTCATAAATTTAGGAATAAATTCGTAATTTTACGATGAAATCTTAATGTTACTGACGAAAGATCATAGTTTTACTGATAAAATCGTTATCTTACGACTATTCTCGTTATAAAACGCGTAAACTTGTTTTCTTACAAATGAAGCTTTATTATTAAGAATAGTTGCCTGTTAAATTTGTACCACGAACTGCACTGTTTTTTTACAAAGAAAATTGTAAATTGACAATCTGTTCATCATTTTACAAACTGCCTCTTAAATTTACAGGTGAAATCGTTAATTTACAAGTATAATTGTAAAAGCAAGTCTGAAAAAGTGCGTTTTCGGCCGTTGTTTCCTTACTAGGAAGAAAAAATGCCTGAAACGACCAAAATTTGAGGATTAAGTTTGTAAGTTTAAGAATATTTTTGTAAATTGACGAAAAAAAGATGGATGATCAGATCGTTTTTGAAATTTACGAGCAGTTCGTGGTACAGATTTAACAGACAATTAATCGTAATTTCACAAAATAATCCCGAACAGTGTAGAGTGATGGTACCGGGTTTGAGATGTCAACAGTCTGTGGCTGAGGAAAATGTTTATTTCGTTGGAATTCCAACCCAAGTCCTTTGAGGCGCGGCAAACACCTCTGTTCACTCAGCCACCTCGGCCTACCCAAACTTGAGACTTACTGCTACCGCATTTAAGCGGCCAACGAAGGAAAATAAGTTCGCCTCTGAGATATGAACCCAAGTCCTCACCCGCAGCGGCCGCTGCCTTGCGCCCTGAGCCACCGAACGACACAGATAGATTTCACCCAAACGTAGATTAATGGTATCGGAATGTTCTGCTCTGGGCTTGATAAGTTAAATGGGGAAAATGTAATCTCACTGGGGAGTCGAACCCAGCCCTCGGCTCGTCCTATACCGGTAATGCCTCGCATTGAGATCGTGTTCTCGATCGACCGACCCATTGAGAGATCTACTAAAGAGATTAGACCATTGCTCGCGGTTCACGAGGCCTGCCGTTTGAATTTGGCGCGTCGACCAATGGCCCTTGACGCATTCCATTTGGCGTGAAAATGATTTTTTCCGGGACGCTGGATGAGTTGAAGAAGCTGTGGGCGGTGGGTTGCCTACACTGGTGAAACAAAGGCATAAAAATTATGGCCCGCGTAAACGATTTACGCCCTTAAAGGGCTTAAATCGTTAATGCCTTTGGGAAGGGCATTAAAATTTTGCTTGAAATTCCTATACCATTTACGCCCTTCCCAAGGGCATAAAACGATTATGCCCTTGCAAAGGCGTAAAAGAGTATTTATGCCCTTAAGGGCGTAATTTTTATGCCTTTGTTTCACCAGTGTACCCCGGCGCACGCATAAAAAATGTTTGTGTTTTAGTTAACTTTCTTCGCTTTCCTTCACTCTCAGCACGTTGCTGACTTTTTTCTCATTAATTACGCATTCGTATGTGCAACAATATTACTTAGTATTTTCTTAGCAAGTATGTCTGCTAAATTTCCTTTGAAAAATTATGTACAAAACCAAATTTTTAGAACATTACTTTTGAGTAGTTCTTTCATAAAGGAACGTATTATGGTTGCACAAATTACTTGCATCACTACTGACAAAATGAGTAAAAAGTCAGAAACGTGCTGTGAGTGTTCTCTTTCTTCTCTTTCCTTTCCTCCCCTCTTCCTTTACCCTCCTATCCTTCATCTTCTTCTCCCCACCTCACTCCCTCCTTTTGAAATCACGGAGCCGCTGGTCATATTCGTTGACCACCAGTCTGCAGACACGACGAAAAGTTAGGATAAATGTCTTGTGTGCGCGCAAACTGATTATTTCTTATCGTCTGAGCAAAAGCCAGGTGGATGGAATAATGTTGTTTGTAAACGCCACAACTCAGTCCGCAAGTGAAACTAGTGTAGCAAAGAAATAATAAAGACAAAAGCAGCGCAAATTTTTACTCATATTTATTACGGTTAAGTCACACACCCAAATATCGGTACGAGTTTGATGCCTCCCACAAAGCCACGGAACAATCAAACATGAAACAAAGTTCCCATCAGCAAATTCAATGACGTTAAGGAAGGCACATATTCTTTAATAGTCGATACCCCGCGGAGCACGGGCAAAAAAGTTTATTCAAAACCATCGTGCAAAAGGTCATAAAAAAATAAACTTTCTACCAATCAAAGAACTTAAGCGGAAAAGAACACAGTGGCAAAGTTCTGAAGTCCCTCCTCCAAAAACCAACGATTAACAAACAAAATAAAGTTGATTTGACAGCAAGAGCAAAAACAACAACAAACAAAACAAAGTTGACTTGACAGCAAGAGCAAGACAATGTCCAAAAACAACAAACAAACAGAGACAAAAAATAAATAAATTGTGATCTGCGCAAGAAAAATCTATCATTGAGGCACGGTTAGAAGAAGTCGTCGTAACCCAAATCATCGAAACCGGTGTCATAATAACCGGGGTAATCGTCGAAATCCTCATAGCCCCAGTCCGTCTGCTCCATGGCACAGCTGTTGCACTGGCAGCTGCCGTATGCTCTGAACATGTTGGCGAGGAAGTCGAACGGTCCGAGGTCCACTTCCAGGTCGGGCACGTCCCTCGACGCGAAGCGCGGCCTCTCCAGGGCGCAGACGTTTTCGCATGCACTGCAGACGACGCGCCCGCGCACTTGCTGCAGGAGGGAGGCGCGCAGAGCGGTGCAGGCGTCCTTCGAGTGGCTTGGAGTGCTGCGGGCAGACGCAATCACTCAGAAGCACGCCCTTCTCCCACACTGTTTTGGCACTCTTAAAATCTTACGAAGTATTTTGGGCATAAGTAAGGTACAAACTCTTAAATTGGTTATAAGTAGTAAGGCTGGGTCAGCCTTACTACTACTGTTACACACTGAGAATGAAAAAAAGTCTTGATCAACACCCAGTTTTGGGCGAGGTTTACTTTATCACCCAACTTTGGGCGAGAAAACCTTCCTCACCCAAATTTGGGTAATACAGAATTCCTCACTCAAAATTTTAGTCATGTTCATGATTCTTTCATTCTCGTACGAAGACATAGTTCTTAAGTGACTGCATTCTAAATGTTGTACAGTGAAGATTCTCCATATTATGGAGAAAATGTTCCATATTCTGTCGAAGCAGCTGGTTTCAGATTTTGAAATACTACGACCGATAACGACATTGTCGTAGAGAAATGATATTTTAGTCGTTCAGTTACAAGGAAATAGTGAAAGAAAGACTTCCGATGCTTCCAAAATTAGCGACTTTTTGGTCGCTACTTGACGACAAAATTTCTGACACAGTAATATTGGTTAATTCACAGGAGAGGCCTTGACCGTGGCATTCGTAGTGTGTCGACGGAGCGTACCCTATGAAGGCGAGGTACTCCAGGCGCGCCCCTTGCAGCACTTGGCGCAGCTTGGCCTGGTCCGCGGCGTTGGCGGGGTTCAGCTTCACCATGAGGCGCCGCAGTTTGGTGCAACGCTTGAGCGCCGCCACGGGAAGGCAGTGGATGCCCAACTCCTGCACTGTGCTTGCGTTGGCGAGGACCAGCGACTCCACAGCTTGCGACCGAATCTGCAACGAACGCAAAAAGAGGAAACTCACGACGGGGAAACAACTTGAATTTTGGTGTTTGTTTCCCTGGAAATAACGTGAAATGACGTTGAGGGGGACCATGGTGAAAAAATGACCAAAATTACCAATAACAATATTTCCAAAATTCATAGATAAAAATGAGCATAGACGGTTTCAGATTCAACGGGTTGAACACCTTAAAGCTAAGTGGGTAGTTTCTTTATCACTTGGAAAGAGATAATACAAAGATCAGTTGTTGTTGGCTAATACGCTCATCTTTACTGCTTTAATCAGGCGACAACAAATTTTGTCGCCAAAAGACTTCCTGCGTTCCTGGCTTACATGAGTCGTCTTGCATGAACTCTATTCTCTGATGACTTTTCGACAAATTTTAGTGAGTCTCTACCTCAGCAAAAAATCAACTTGTATTATTTTAAATTTGAAAATTTGTACCTCAGGACAGAAGTTGACTTTGAAAACTCTGTCAATTAAATCTTTTCTGTACATCTGATAACCCAAAAAAATTTTCAAGACTTTCCGTCTATGAAAGTCGCAGGAAGATTTTTCCCCAATGCTCTAAAAAAACAGTAAAGTGGCACTTTTCTCAAAAACCGTTCAATATTTTGGATTGAATTTTGTTTAGGGAACTCACCATAATGAACCTAATAATGAAGCAAAGTTTCATTTTTCTGGGATTATTTTAAAGCCTACTTGAAAGTTTCACCAGGGTCCCCCCTTAACTTAACATAGCCCAAGTGAACTCATGTGAATAAGAACAGGAAAAAAGTACAGAGGTTCCGTAGAATGGCAAGGCAGGTACAGACGGTCCAGGCAAGTTTTCAACTAGGACTATAGTTCCGTACTTTTTTCTACCAGTGTGTGCAGTTCCCTAGCAGGACACAGTGGGCCAGAAGACCGGTGGAGGCGGCCAAAACTCTAGACGCGTTTCGACCTCCAGAGTCGCTGAATGGGACTCGGACCGAACGTGGGACCCCACCAATGGATTCCTCGTTCGGAGAGCAATCCATTGGTGGGGTCACACGTTCGATTCGAGTCTCATTTAGTGATTCTGGAGCTCAAAACGCGTCTGGAGTTTCGGCCGCCTCCACCGGTCTTCTGGCCCACTGTGCAGGACTCACCCCAGGATGGCAGACGAGCTTCTGCAGCCTGCCGGTCGTACCCTTGGGGACTCCGGGCACCCGGTACTTGAAGGGCAGGTAGCCCAACTTCTGCTGCTGGTACTTCTCCTTGGTCACGTCCCGCTCGTACGACACCGCCAGGCTTTTCAGCGCGGGCAGGGCGAGGGCGGCCTTGAGGGCGGCCACCTTGGGGTTGAGCAGGGTCAGCTCCTCCAGCGTCCCCCTCTGGCGGTTCAGGTATTTGGTCGTCCACTGCAACTGGCCGTTCAGCTCCGCCGACCTCACCTGAAAATGGAAGAACGATGAAAATCGGAACGTCAGACATCTCATCCCTCTCACTCTTCAAGGGGGTGAAATGTACATGTCTAAAACCTTACAAAGTATTTTAAAGTATATGAGAGGTACAAACCGTTGGTTTGTTGTACGAAGAATTAATTAACTATGCAGTATTTTCTTAGTATGCTCAAAATACTTTGTTCTGACAATCTTATTTTGTTTGTCAACCCCAAAATAGTCTGAAAGGTTTACAGGCACTCTTAGGCCTCACAAAGAGAAGAAGATGGTTATAACATAGTATTTTGAGCATATAAGCTGACAAAGAAACTACTTCGCAATTTTTGAACTATTTCATCGTATAACAAACTAAATAGTTTGTAGATTACTTAATGCTCATGATACTTCGTAAGGTTTTAAGCATGAGGTCAAATCTTGACCAAGAAACAGTTGTCCCATTTTAACCCCGTTCCCAAAATTACCCCAACCGACCCTACCTGACAGGTGGACTGAGTGGAGATGGCGTTTCTGGCGGAGCCCTCCATCGTCTTGGGGCAGCTGACGCGGCCGAGGCACGGGGCGAAGAGGATGGTCCGCCTGAAGGCCTTGGCGCCAGCGTGCCAGTTATTCTTGGAGCCGGGCAGGTCGTAGCACAGCTGCCTGCTGCGCCACACCGATTGCTGCGAGCACAAGTGATCCAGGAAGCGGAAGAAGGGGTTAAGTCGAGTTGAATCCGTGCACTTTTGAAAGGCCTGAACCTTGCAGGTGGGAGAACAGGTGGGGAATGTCATCTAAAAATAGATGCAAGAGGATGGGACTTGTCTCACCACACTTCATTTTGGACCAAATTTTCGCTCACGTTTACTTGATAGACTGATAAGAGGTCACTGAATCAACTTGACTTAACCCCTTCTTCCGCTTCGTCGATCAAGTAAAAGGAACATTTCACCTGGACTACAACTGGTGACCAATACACTTTAGTTACATGGCTGATGTCTCGAATCGAAAGTACACCTCGAGATGTTGTTTTTTTTTGGGGGGGGAATCAACAAAGGTGTGTATCCCCGACAGCAAATTATTTCGAGCATACGCAAGCTTACAAAGAAAAGTTCATTTACGAAACTATTTCTTCGTATTACAAACTCAATAGTTTGCACTTGATACATGCTCAAAATACTTCGTGAGCGATTCTCACGTTTCGGGGTAGTTTCGTTTCTTCTGACTCCTGTGCCCAAACGAGCGCAGATATCGACATGGGGTTTGTTTCTAATGTTAGGGAGGGCCATTGCCCACTAAACGCACACATTTCGAAAAGTTCACGTTCGTTGGATTGGTCTACGTAGCGTTTGGAATACCCTAAATGTAACTTCCGTGATTGTCCAAAGAGAACATACTCGAACTTTCCGCCCCCAGTGTGGCGGTGTGGTTAGAAAATGCTGCCAACTGTCGATGGGGATTCGAAGCTTGGCATGTCTCGAGCTAATTTCAACCGAAGACCAATACGCCAGACTTCTTTCAAAGGTACTTATGCTGCAACGAAAAATGTCCACCGTATATTCAATTTCACTACACAAATTTCGAAAAGGCAGCTCTGGACTTCTCCGCAAGCCAAACTTGTAACTTTCCATGACACAAGCCATCAAAGTGGAGTCCCTGGGACATAATTGCATGGGTCGCGGAAATCTAAGACGCTGTACACGGTCTCAAAGCGGACTAGAGCATTATAAAATGGCGTGTATCAACAATTACCTGTAACTTCCGTGGCACCCTTTACCAAATGTTGCAGCAGCACTAGGTGAAAAAATTTTCCGCTTAAATGTCGGGCTTAGAGTATCATTTGACCCTGGAACGACTTTTAAGCCACAGCAAGCCCGAGTCAGCCGTTAAAGCCGATTTTCACACTTTGTAACTTCCGTGATAACGTAATTTCCGTGATCAAAACACCCACTAAAACGTATGGGAATACCTTATGGCTCATTTTTTTAGGAAGGTGGTACAAGGTCTTTACTATAAATACCATTGCCACAACTCTAGTATCATCCAGGACCCCAATAATCAGAAAAACTTAATTGGATATTTCTCACTTTCGGCAAATCAGAGACGCCAAAACTACCCCGAAACGTGAGAATCGCTCTCGTACGGTTTAACGCGTGGACGGTGTGGTGTCGCCTGTCCTACACTCTCAGACTCGTATTGACTTTTTACTGTCCATTATTGACTTGTTGTCCTCTCTGCTTACGTGGTATTTAAAGCAGCAATAATAGGTAGTATTTCCTTTGCAACTATGAACAATGTTGTTCACTACAAAGACTAAATTGTCATAAATTATTGACTTTTTCTTTTAGAAGTCCATTGCGTGACTCTTTGTCAAACTTACGTTAGCAATAACTTACTTCAGCAAACTGACTTTGAGTCCAGATAACCAACAAAATCTAACATAGATATTGAGTACATAGTACACTGGTAAAACTAAAGCGTAGTTCTACCCACTGTTTTCAAGCGTAATCAGTTTACGCTTGAAATCAAGCGTAACAGGCTCATCCGCCAAGATTTTCCCTATCTAAATGCATGGGGGAATTTCTAGCCTATGCTTGATTTCAAGCGTAACGTCTTCAAGCGTAACTTTATGCTTGACTCAAGCATAGAGTTACGCTTTAGTTTTACCAGTGTACTTTTCATTGCCGTGTAAAATACTCTTCAACAAAAGATAAAAAGCCAATAACAGTCTGAGAGTGTAGTGCTACCTGCTTGGCTGCGGCTCGCCAGCTGCGGCAGGACTGCCCGGCCGAGATGACGTCATCGTTGCCCATCATGCGGAACGCCTTGGTGAGCAGGTGCTGCGGCAGGGCGGCCCAGCCCGTCGGCAGCTGGGGGAACAGGGAGAAAGACGGTTAGCGCGACACTGGTGAATCAAATAAAATTGTGTCCCTGAAGGGCGTCAACGATTTACGCCCCCTGGAGCAGCGTGAATCGTTAATGCCTTTGGAAAGGGCATTAAATTTCGCCTGAAAGTCCTATACTATTCACGCCCTTCCCAAGGGCATTAAACGATCTTCACGCTCTTGACTGAAGACTAAAAGACTATGCCCTAAAGGGCGTGGTTCTTATGCCTTTGTTTCACCACTTGGCGCACAGAAAAAAGGTCTGCGAAGCATCGCGTCATAAAAAAGCATTGTAAACTCCGCTAAGAAATCCTTCTTACATTACACTGCAACTCCAAGTGAAATTTGAGCCGTGTTACAGTGAATTCGGCGCGAGCCTAATATGAAGGAGTATTCCTCGGGATTCCTTATGGCATTCTCATTGTAAGATACCAAGAAAAACCTGAAGGTTTACGAATTCGTAAAGCGAAAAGAAACCTTCGTATTGTGCTTGCGTTATTTTCTTCGTGTTATGGGAAATTCTTTGTAAGACATTTACAGTGCATTTCAGTGCATGATGAAAACGGAACCTGGTTTTCCCAGGAAGCCAATGGTAATGGCATGGGCGATTTCCAGGAAGTTCCTGGGAAAACCAGGAGCCGTTTTTACCGTGTGCATACGATGCAATTCTTCCTGATGCGAAGCTCCAATGCCTTCATTTCATAGTACCGAAGCAAACGCTCACCTCGGCCAGCTCGGCCTCGGTGCCCTTCGACTTGCGCCTGGAGGAGGCCACCGAGTCGTCGGCCACGGAGTCGACATCCGCCTTCTTCGGCGTCCGACGACGCTTCAGACCCGAGGAACTGCAGCTGGGCTCGCAGTCCGGGTCCTGGCGACTTGCACGGGGACCTCCACGAGAACCTCCACGAGAACCTCCACGAGAACCTCCACGAGAACCTCCACGAGGACCTCCACGAGAACCTCCACGAGAACCTCCACGAGGACCTCCACGGCGCCGCTTCGGCGGCGATTCGTCGGAAGAGTCATCGCTTATGACGATGACCTCGCCCTGGAGAGAGCACCCAGCGGCGTCTGCAGGAAGACGGACACTGCACTGATAAAACTGATCCAGGAAGCGGAAGACTTACCTCCAAATAAAGTTTTCATCTTATTATTGTGCCTCAGGATGGTTTGCGCCATTACACTAAATTGTTTAACCCAATTCCTAACAGTTCAGGAGACAATCCATATGAAAATGCAAATAACCCAACTCGACCCCTTTTGCGGTCTAAATTTTATCAGAATGGAGGTAACTCAACCGAAGTCCACATAACTCCATTGCACAAAATGGCAAAAGGAGATGACTCAACTTTTGTCTTAATGAATCTAATGTAAAAAGAATCAACTCGAGTTGATTAACTTAACCCATCATCACTAGTTGTAAGAAAGAGGTTCGTTGACTCACCGCGACTAGATGACGCCATGGTTTCACAGACTGAAAAGAGAAACAGGGATTTAATGATCAGGGCCACGTACAAAACATTCAAGCGTCCGCGACTGAAATGAGCGCGGAAGATGCGGCTGAATGCGGTACTGTGTAAAATGAAATACGGAAGAAGCAGACTTGCACGAAACGGTGGTACTTTGAGATTGAGAATAATTGCTCCGGAACCAGTGTGCCGAACCAGCATGTGGGGTTTTCGCAAGTTTACGACAAGCTGCCTTTAGGGTTGAAAAGTGGTATTTGGTATGAAGAAGTGTTGGAAGTCTAGTTTCCGGTTTGGATCAATTTTCATTAACACTCTGAGATCTGCTACAAGTAGTGTCTATTAAGTTACGCTGTTTTATACGGCTCCTCCCTCTACCTTTGTAACGCAGCGTTGCTACACTCTAAATGTCTTACGAAGAAATTTCCCATATTACGAAGGAAATGGCGCAAGCATAATACGAAGGTGGTTTTTCTTCGTATCACGAAGGTTTTTCTTTGTACCTTACAGTGAAACAGCTAAAAAGATTCGTATTACGAAGGAATATTGCTTCGTATTATGCTTGCGCCGAATTCACTGTAACATACGAATAACATAGGTCAAATTTCATTGTAAGACATTTAGAGTGTATCTGGCACAGATTCTGCGATACTCAATTCGGACTGAGTGAAGAAGTCTAATACAGCCCTGAAGTCGAAGTCGAGGAAAACGGAAAGAGACGCAAGCTGGAAATCAAGATTTCTCTTCTCGTCACAACGCAAGTATCTGCCAGAAATTTAATGATTAAAAAGAAGTCCCATCGTAGTGCCGCGCCCTGATACCGAAATAAAGAACAGACCCGACGACGTGAGTCCTGCAGTGTGGGTCTAGTCGAAGATAGTGCTACGGCAATCGAGGTGGGAGGATAATAAAAATTAAAGATACGAACGGACAGTGCAGCGTTCTGAAATCGCCTTCCGTACCGGTTCCGCTTGAGGATCAGTACTTGAGTGTCGAAGAGGGTGCTGGGTTCGTTGCGTAACCGTTAGTAATCGCCTTGTTAATAATAGGGAAGAAGTACAGAAGAACTGAATTCCTGAAGGAGAGGACTAAGCGGAAGTTCTACGGTAGTAGTAAAGTGGCCTGCACTCCTAGTACCGGGATCAAAGCCAGAAAACAGCTGAACATTAGATTTGAACCGGCTGAAATCTTCCGGTAGGGTATTTCAACAGGTAGGAAGGGTCGAAGGGCAAAACTCTTACTGAGATGGTTCGGGTTGAAGTGAAACATAAAGTAACAGCGGTGTTTGAGATGTCTCTTTGGGCTAGCCCCTAACCGGAGCCAGACCAGTGATGGTTACGTTTCCTCTTCTCTGGGGATTTGATAGTTTTGGAATCGTCAGTAATCGCTGATTTCTTCTCAATTGCGAGTTTCCGAAGCCCATTTATCATCGCTCTGAGGAGAGGTGCGGTTCTCTGCTTTGAATGTGGAGTCAGCTCACCACTTCTGGTCTTTGCCGTTCGCTTCGCTGTGAGTCACCAGTGCCCTGAAACGGACGTTTCACAGTACGACTGCCGTAGGCGTCTGACCTGGTCAGACAAGCTAATTTCTTGAGGGGTGTACCGACTTTGTTTTTGTAGCCGTCGACTGAGGAATCAGATAAAGCTCATAACCGGAAATAGAGGAGTTTCTTAAATGCACTGAAAAAACGATTCCCCCTGCGTTTGTCTGTTGCTTTTACTACGTTTACACGACAGAGCTAGCCTCGGTCAACTCGAGGGGTGGGGGAGTGGAGGGGAGACGCCACTCAGCCAGGGCTAGCAGACGTCGTGTTCACGCGGTGCCGGTGGAGCGTTGTTGGGGTGACTTTCTAACCTCAAGATAGCCTAAACAATTTCGAATTTAAGTCGAATTTAGGTCGAAATTTGCTATACGCAAAAGACAATGGATAATTTTATTCAGAAACATTCAGTTACAAGTGGTAAAAATCAGGGAGTTCTGCTTCAGACATGACTTTAAATCCACATAACCGTTATTCCACATAATTGTTGACAGACATAACTGGCTACAGACATAACTGGTGTCAGACATAAAAGAGGATTTATTGTGGTTAAAAACTGTAAACACACATAACTTTATGTACACATAACTTTATTCAGAAATAAACTTTTAATTAAAAAATATATATAAAAATTGAATTAAATAGAGGAGAAATAGAAGAAATAGAACTCAATTAAACTCAGTCAAAAATTTCAATCATCATCAAAATTTCCTTCCTGCACAGTGGGCACGTGGCGCTCTCGTCCACCCGGCCCGCACAGGTGTTGCAGCAGATGCGATGCCCGCACGGCACTGCAGCGTGGTTTCTAGGGCCGTCAAAGCAGAGGCGCCACTGCTCATCTTGCCCCTCTGCCTAACTGGAAGCAGCTGCCCTTGCAGCGGCATTCGCAGCCTGTTGAAGCGCGTGCTGCTGAGTCTGCCGTGCTGTAATTTCAGCTTCATCCATGAATCCTTCGGGCAGCTCTTGCTCTTCTTCACTTCCTTCACTACTCGATGAAGCGGACGGAACATTCCCAGCACCCCTGCCGCGACCACCCCTTATGTCTGTCGAAAGTTATGTCTGTCGACGGTTATGTCTATCAAATATTATGCCTGTCAAATGTCATGTCTGTCAACAGTTATATGTATATGCGATGTGGTTATTTCTGTAAAATGTTATGTCTGTTGCAATTATAACTTTAATTTAAATAATAAATGCTTTTTATTTCAGAAATAAAGCCGTTATTTCTGCTGTCACCAGTTATGTGGATTTACAGTTATGTGGGTCAAAAGTTATGTCTGTCAACAGCAACTCAAAAATCAAACCAATAAAAATTACATAAAATAAAGTAAGTAAATTAAAGATTTCATACAACAGAAAACCTCTTCCCAAGTTTTTTCCAACGATTTCAGAGGTGTACTCATATTAATAGAAAATAGATGGGCCTACAACACCTCAAAAACACTGCGCACACCTAACCTCACTTAACCCTGTGGTTTTTACACGTTGGAGTTAGCCTCGGTCAACGAGTTAGCCGGGCTAGCTCGAGGGGTCTATCTCTTGACCCACCGCCTGTGTTCATGCGCGCGAGTTGACCCCGGCTAGCTCGAGACCTACCCCCTCCACTTATCACACGTTGGCCGGGGGTTGCGGAGGTGAAGTGGGGTTTGCTGTGTGAGGCTGCCTAATCCAGCTCGCCGCGGGGTCAAACCGGGTCGAGGGATGCTTTGCACTTGGTCCTCAGTCACTGGGTTTCACTGCACTGATCACTCGCGTAACCGTCTAGCCGCAGCGTGTTCTACGGGTTCGTGAAGGGGTGAAGTAACGACACACGGGTTGGTTGAGTACTCGGGCACACGCGGACACTTTCGCGGACGGGGTATTCGGCGGAGAGGGCTCAGTTGTTTCCGCTACGGTGGTTGGTAGAATACTCCCTGGAGCTTCTCCCGAGTCGGGGCTCCGTGAGGGAGGCACGTGCTTAATCCCTAACATCTAAGGTGAACGCATCGGCCACAGGCCGGTGACAATCAGATTATTCCAGCACTGCTGGCTAACGCCTGATTACTAGGCAACCTATCTGCCAGTCGTGTTAGTTAGCTGGCATTTAACACGGGGCGACGCGGCCTATGTTTTCTGCATAGGCACGCGCGTCAGATAGCACGGCAGCTAGCGCGCTGAGCGCTGCAGAGGTGCGTGCGCATCGCAGAGGCATTGACCAGTGTGACCTGGGCAGTGCGTCTGTGATACACTCCCCCACCCCTCGAGTTGACCGAGGCTAGCTCCCCCGTGTAAACGTAGTATTTCTGCTATTTCTTTAGCTGACTGTTGATGATTTCGTTACAGATGCTCAAGTTCTGACTACAGCTCCCTGAACACTGCCGCTGTCTTGCAAGCAGAAGATGAAGATAACTAAGATTAGGTAACTGGGCTTTAGTGGACACAACCATCGTTCCTCCATTTAAAACCGCCAAATCAGTAGACAAAATGTGTTGTTCGGCAATTTATAATGAACAAAACATAACATGTCAAGACATCTGTAATTGTCATGTTGACCTTTCCCTCTGAGTTGGCTTCAATGGAATAGACAGTCAAGAGGGAAGTTGCTTAGGTCTGGGAGGCCCACACTCCAAGATAGGAAACAAAGTCTGACTCACACATACAGGTAATATATTCTGAATTTTATTCTAATAAACATGAAATAGCAAAATGTTGAGATAATCTTCAATTCAGACAGTTCACACATACAGGTAATATATTCTGAAATATATCCAAATTAACATGAAATAGCAAAGAGTTGAGATATTCTTCACTTCGAAACACAAATTATTCAATGCGTAACTCGAAAAAGATGCAACCATACAAAGGTCAAGTCAAAATAGAATAAGACAACACGAATCAAAAAGTTGGTCACTTCCGAGTTTCTACACGTCCTCCTCGAAAGGAGCACCTTGGTTCAGCCACTCCCAATTGACAGATCGACTGGCGTGCTCGACGCGTCTGCGTTCATCTTTCGCAGCTCCATCAACAAAGCACGCTGCCTCTTTCTGAATTCCCTCGCATGCATGGCACAAGCCTGCTTATGCTTCAATTCCTTCTGCTTCTTGTCGATAAGTAAGCGAGTTTCCCGTATTTCTCCTTCGACTTCAGGGTCCGCCAACTCATCACGTCGCCGCACCAGGCCGTCCAGCTTCGATTGGAGCAGAGAGATTTCCGATTTGAGGGCCTCCTGGCGCGGAGCGCGCGTGGAAGACACCGGACTGTCTCCAGCGCCGTCGCTGTCATCGTTGAGAATGACTGGACACGCGTCACCTGTTGCTGACAATAAGATCTACTACACTCTCAGTCTCGTATTGACTTTTAGTCTCTTGCCAAAAGGTTTTTGGTGCAAACGTAATATGTACTATTCTCTCTACTACTTTGTTCATTGTATGAGGTATTTAGTCCATTCTGAATTTTTGTCATTTGCAACTTCTATATGACCAATTGGCAACTACACTCTCATTCCAGGAACGGGACGTCACGTTGAAACGAACGTGACAAAACGTCACGTTCGTTTGAGCATTGTGTCACATTCGTTTGGATGTGAGTCGGCCAAAAATTACCTTGTTCACATTCAAACGAACGTGACACAATGCTCAAACGAACTTGACATTTTTCACGTTCGTGTTACGTTCCTGGAATGAGAGTGAACGTAATATGTACTATTCTCTCTACTATTTTGTTCATTGTATGAGGTATTTAGTCCATTAAACCTGAGTTTTTGTCATTCGCAATGTGCTTTCCAATTTCTTAATGATCAATTAACTTTCAAACGATCAAAATAGTGCATAGCTAAAGAGAAAATAGTACATTTTACGTTTGCTCGAAAAAAATTTATAAGCAAGACAGAAAAAGTCAATATAGGTCTGAGAGTGTACAAAGTATTTAAAACGTCAAAACGTCTGAATTTTGGAGACACAATTTACAAACAACAATGTGCACAATTTATTGCCCGACGAGTTGTTTAATCTTAAGCTCATCAAACGGTGGTACAATTTTGTTGCGGTCTTGCGAGCATAAAATCGTAACATTAACGGGTGTGTAACGGGTTATAACCTTAACGCTTACGATAACGTTATGACAACCTTCCAAGGTAACTTAAGGACCCCTGATTGAGGGTTTGGGTGAAACAAAGGAAGTTTTGCAGTTCAAGCAATTGTACACTCTCAATCTGTTTTTGACTTTTTGTCCACTGTTAAAGAGTATTTTACACAGCAATAAAAAGTACTATTTCCTCAATATTTATGAAGGATTTTGTTCGTTATATTGACATAAAGTCAATTTGCTATTGACTTAAAAAATAGTCAATAATTGATGACAATTTAGTCTTTATAGTGAACAATACTGTCCATGTTTACAAAGGAAATACTACATATTATTGCTGCTGAAAAAACTACGTAAGCAAAGGACAAAATGTCAATAATGGAGAGAAAAAAGTCAATACGAGTCTGTGAGTGTACTATGAGGGTCATACCTAGCTGCGCACCAATTTCAACGGGTTTGTCGTCGTGAGAATCGTCAGCACCAACAAAGGACGCCTCGGCATCCCCTGCTTCTGCCACCAGTGGGTCTTGAGCTCCATCCAATCGCTGCCGTTTCGCTCCCTGAAGTCACCAAAACGAAAAACCGTGTAAATGAACGGGACACTCGGAGTCACACGCATCCACCTAATCTCGAAAGGGGAAACTCAAAAACGAAAAATGGCGAAAATTGACATAAGTTCAAGATAGGTTTTATGCTCAAAATGTACATGAAACGTTTCAGGTGAGAAGAACGACAACAGCAGTCCAAAAATGGCAGGAAATATGCGAAATCTACGCGGCGGATGAACTTCGCCGCGTAAATTTCTCATCAAAACTGCCATCTATCACTTCCGTTCTGGAGGAGCATTGGAATACCAAATGACCAAATTTAAATGACAAAAATAAGGGGGATTTCTTTGAAGCCTTGTTCCAGGTTCACCTGCTCACTCCAGCTCCTGGTGAAGTAAGCACAGAAGAGTACCAGAACACTACGACAGGTTGGCAGTAAGCGGAACGGTTCAACAGCTGGACAGTCTTCCAACATTTCACCGATTTTCAAAGAACGCCTCACAAAAGATGTAGCATTAAAGGCTTAAGGCTCCGATGGCTGGAAATCGAGTGAAGGGTTGGGAATCCTTGAACGAGTCACCTTGCTTGATCCGAACCGACTACTGGCTCGGACCAAGGATCGTTTCCGGCATTTATGGACGATCATTTTACTTCCGGTCAACTTCTGTGCCCTGGCACGCACACTCAAAAGGTCATCCGAAGAAAACGAACACCATTTCATCGCAATACGGTGAATTGTGTACAAGGAGCCGCTTTTCCGTCCATCTATGAAGCGATATGAAGCGTTCCCTTACTGCACTGTGAAAATTTGAGTCGTCACTTGCTGACAATTTCAAGGCTAATTTTCCTTACAACGATGTCATAAAAAAATTTGATGACATTTTTGTCACACCCATGCAAAAAGTATAGGAGCTTTGATGAAAATGTCATCCACGTTTTTGTCATAAAGTGACAACAAATTTACACAGTGTAGCTAACAAAAGAACAGCCGATCAGGATTCGTAACGGAACCGAATATAGTTCTCAAATCAAATTTTCGTAACATGTCTTCATGCACTACAGCCGAATTCACTGCACTGAAAATTCAGGTGAAATCATGTAGCCTAAACTGTTACGCAGGAGCAGTAAGAATATAAACTAGAAAATCAATGGAGCGTTCGTCACCTCAGAGAAGATCGCCTAAACTGTTACGCAGGAGCAGAAAGAACATACACTATAAATCAATAGAGCGTTCGATTCGTCACCTAGTGAAGGTCAGGAAAAATCTCGGAACCGGATATAGCAACGACCATTTAACCCCAGAGAACTGATGACAAACGTACCTAAAGGTACCCTAAGATCCTGATCAATAAGGTACTTTCGTAGATCCCTGAACCGGAAGCACACACGCCATGTTGGCGGAAGTAGATCCAAACTTAACATGGGAAAGAGACGTACGTCAAACATATCGGCCACACTTGAATATAAACAGTTGTTTGATACTTGTTTGCAGTGCATGTGTGTTTCGCGAGCAATATTGGTACAGCTCGGCTATAGTTTTGGATCCGAAGAGAGGTTAGTTTCCGGCCAATTTGGCGTCTGCTGGTCTGCTTGCTTCCGGTTCAGGATTCTACGAAAGTACCCTATAGAAAGTTCTGCCAACTTCCGCTCACATGGCGACTGCTGACTTCCGGTCCAGGCTCCCCTAAATTTCAAAGAAAATCTGGACCGGAAGTCAAAGAACGTAAGATCTAAATCTGCTTCAGCGCATGCTCAGTCGCTGACTCTTAGCAGAGGGAGCACGTTAACACATGTCTTGATTTAGATCTTCAACTTCCGGTCTGGAGAGTCGATGAGATAGTGTACTTTCGTAGTTCCTGAACCGGAAGCACGTAGACGCCATAAAGCGGAAGTAGGCCAAAACTTGACATGGGAAAGAGACGATGGTGAAACGTATCGGCCACACTTGAACATAAACAGTGGTTTGATACTTGTTTGCAGTGCATGTGTGTTTCGCGAGCAATATTTGTACACCTCGGTATAGTTTTAAATCCGAAGGGAGGTTAGTTTCCGGCCAACATGGCGTCTGCTTGCTTCCGGTTCGGGATCTACGAAAGTATCCTGTTCACTGAAATGAGGACTTACCTTGGCCAGCAACGTGAGCAGCTTCGCACGTTTGGCGGTGATGGCTTCCTCCAGTTCCTTGACCTTCTCCGTCACGGCGTTGTTCAGCTGCTCCGCGCCTTTGAAGTTAGCCTTCATCTCCCGCCAAGTCGCATTGTACTCGTCCTGAATTTTCTGCTTCGTCCACTCTCCGGTGTACCGCTTGCAAAACGCCTTTACAAGCCGCTCGTACGCGTGCGCCCCTGGCATCTTGGTGTGGTGTACGAAGCGCGCTGAGCCGTGCCTGGCTGGCGGCGGCTGCTGTGCTCTGGAGCAGTGTTCTCTGTAAGGTGGCAAGTTGGCTAGCCACCAAGTTGCCTCCGGCCTCGCAGTGTTGCCTCGTCTGCAGGATGAAATTCCCCCCATGCACCAGTGTCAATGAAAAGGTTGTCAATCTCAGTCTGCTCACTAGGCTGTATCTGATCGTTGCTCATGAGAAATTGCCTCGTACACTGTGAAAATTTGTTGTCACTTAATGACAACAACGTAATTGATGTTGTCATCACTTTCAAATGATGACAATCTCATCACAAATTGACGACATTTTCATCAAAGCTCCTACACCTATTGAATGAGCGTGACAACAATGCCATCAATTGTTTTGATGACATTGTTGTAAGGAACATTAGCCTTGAAAATGTCATCAAGTGACGACTCAACTTTCCTCAGTGTACGCAGGCTGAGGCCAGGCTGAGCTTGGCAACCCTTTCGACACTGGTGCATCGTGGGAATTCTGGCCTTCTTCATTTGGCAACACTGCCTGGGACACAGTATAAACTCTACGAAGAATCGCTTCGCAATGCGAAGAAAATGAAGGCATTGTAAAATCTACGAAGAAATGCTTCGTATTATGAAGCAAATTCCTTTGTAATAGAAAGCATTTCTTCATAATACAAAGCAATTCCACAATGCCTTCATTTTCTTTGTAGTTATGAAGCAAATGCTTCGTAGGCTTATAAAAGTGGAGACGAGGACTGGCAGTTACGTCATGGTTATCTGGAGGATGTGCCGTGTCGTCAGCGTGCGCCGGAAGTCCTTGTGACCGATGAAACTCCCCCTTCAAATTGCGATTCTCTCTTTGGACAAATGATCAGTCCGACGAGGTGAAAGATCTTAGACTTCCGGTTTTCTTTCCCTGTGTTCTAGTCCTTCGCTTCGCTGCGCTGAAGTATTCCAGAGGCACCGATAGTTTACTTACTGCCAGCTGACCCGCAGCCGGGCATTGTCTTCTCTCTCTCTCTCTCTCTCTCTCTCTCTCTCTCTCTCTCTCTCTCCCTCCCTCTCCCTCTCTCTCTCTCCCCCCCGGGAAGAAGCACGGGGAAGAACTGACGGGGGAACAACTGTGATACACCCAATAAATGGAAGCAGTCTGTATTCTGTTAATGCTTTACTCAATACATTCCAGGTTACATAGTTAGATGTTCATACCGATCAATGAACAAAATGAAAGAGAAGAGCACTCTGAAAACGTTAGGTAAAAGAACGTAAAATTCATGGCAGGTCTGTGCAGTAACTTGCCTGATTACATATTATATTTGCAGGAGAACTATCGGTCCACAACACTCCGCGCCTAAGGAGTTGGCTATAAGGCCAACATTAAAAGTCACTCAGCTACGGAGTTAGTCCCGGTACAATCAGTTTAGGACTGATGGTACTAACACACGCGCTCCCGATAGTTTGACAGATAAATTTCATGGAACGCCAGAGGGCAAGCTAAAATCATTCTCATTCAAGTGCTAGAATATTAACTTCGCTGAAGGCGTGTAACTCAACATCCTTTACTGAAGTCTACCACCCCATTCTGAGGTTCACGTCGGACATCTTTTTCCTCTCGTAGGCTCTGATGTGTCGCTTGCACTCAGCCTGCTCCACCTGACGGCTCGTTCCGCGGTAGCTGCTCCAGATGTTGAGGTTCAACTTGAAGAGCTTGCCCAGCGTCTGGCAGACCTCCAGGATGGCCTTCACTCGATTGGACACCTACGAACAAAGATCAGTTGGGCCAAGTGAGTGATGATAGACCAGAGGAACGCCTGCAAACTTAACTGCATGCTTGGCTTGCACTGAGAAAACCTTACAAACTAGTTTGAGCCTTACAAAGAAAAGAAGTTTGTATAACAAAGTATTTTGAGCATACGTAAGCTTACAAAGAAAATACTTTGTAATTTACGAACTATTTCTTCGTATAACAAAGTATTTTAGTTTGTTGTACGTATGGTACGTACTTCGTAAGGTTTTAAGAGTGTGCAGTTCACTGAAATTCAAAGAATGCAACATTACATTCGTTTGAAGAAACTGTCACATTCGTTTTCATGTGAATCGCCAACGACCAGCCCTTGGAGCAGCATCTGCTTCGATTCACATGCAAACGAATGTGACATTGTATTCAAATATGTTGCGTTCTTTGAAGTGCAGTGCGATAGGCGTGTATTGTAAGTAAGCCCTCAGTTCTGTCTTTAACCAGAAGTATTTTTTTGACAGTGTGAATCCCAATTTGTTTTAAACAGAGTGGACAACCTGTGCATTGTCAAAACAAACTTCTTATTTTTCCTGACAGAGCTTACGGTAAGAATATTGGCTGGACTGCTTCGAGAAATACCAAAAAGGTTAGTGGTTGGTCTGCGTCTGACAAGTCCATGGCCAGCTTCAAAACTCGTTTGGATTTCAAGGGGGATTCAAATCGTTATAATTTAAGTTTTTAAATTATTTTTAATCCTATTTTGTTTCTGCGGTGAGCAAAAAGGGTTCGCTTTGCAGCTTTTCCTTTAGATCTACTGTAAGCTTTAGATCTACATGAAGCGTTCCATTTTCGTCTGTGTAAACTCTCCATTTCAAATTTGTCCGTGACTATTTGTAAATTTATTTAAAGGAATTTAAGGTTGTTGTTGCAAAATTTTAAATAAGAGAACCTAACTCTAAATCCAGGATATCAAAAAACGCCCCCACAAAGATCTTGCAGTAGCAGCATAGAATATCCAAACCAAATTTGAGATTATTCCAGCACTAAGTAACGGACAAGTTTGAAATTAAGAGTTTACGCAGACCAAAGTGTAACACTTAAGGTCTGAGCTTATAGAAGGTCTAAATGAGCTTTCTAGGCTGCAAGGTAAAGTAATGGTCTACTTTTCACTACTTTAAGATATTTACCTCCCAAAGAAACAGGAATAATAATAATAATAATTAATAAACTGGAACTTGACAAATGAAATATTTTTGGAAAATCTGAAGGGTTGGAACCCCCTAAACAAAGGAGTTCTGGCAATATTTTTTTCCGGAAGACCTTCAGGAAATCCCACTCTATATTTTTGACAGTGTGTTGCAATGTGTTGCGGGCTTACGTCAAGGGTATGATCGGTACTTACCCGAGAGTCCTGCCACACGAAGATGGTCATTTCCTCGATGTGCTGCATGCCGCGCAGTGAATTCATCACCTTGTCGTGGGCGCGCACCTGGCGGAGTGACTTGCACTTGGACAGAGCCTTAAGCATGACAGGGGGAGGGGGGAGGTCCCCGTGCAGGTCCACGTCACGGAGGGTCGGTGCGACCGCTGTCAGCAGGTCCACCGTCAGCAGCTCGGGCAACTTCGCTGCCCTGTACGTGTTGACCTGCAGCAACAGAGAAAATAGCTGCTGTGGATGCACGAACACTCTAAAGACAAGGCGAAGCCACACAGTGGGCCAGAAGACCGGTGGAGGCGGCCAAATCTCTAGACGCGTTTTGAGCTCCAGAGTCGCTAATCAGGCCTCGAACAGAGCGTGTGACCCCACCAATGGATTCCTCGTTGGGAGAGCAATTCATTGGTGGGGTCACACGTTCGGTTCGAGGCCTCTTTGGCGACTCTGGAGCTCAAAACGCGTCTAGAGTTTTGACCGCCTCCACCGGTCTTCTGGCCCACTGTGAGCCACCAGATTGAATAATTAGCGGTACGCGCCGTTTAGTCTGGGCGCGTAGTGTGGCCGAGCGATGCGAATTGACATAATTTGTGCACTTCGGACTTTGCTTGAGTAGACGAAATGTGCTTCTTACGGGCTTATTTTGAGTGAACTTTAGGACAGGGGTACAAATGGAAGTGACTTTCGTTATCAGAACACCAAAAACTGCGGGGATCAATGTCAAACTCGATTTAAAAGTTTAATCGTCTCATTACATCCAATAACTAATTCACTCACCGCTCAAAACCCGAGTATTCTCTTTGAACCCAATAACAAATTAAACTCTATTAGGATTAAATATACACAACCACACATTGATTCCATTAAGAAACACATGTTAGTACTTTTGCACTAGTGTCAGCTTGCAGCATTGCAATACTAGAATGTATTTCTCGAGTCCAAACTAAGTATGCCTGCTAATTTCAACACAAATTATTCGTGCATTTCCCTGATTTCCCTTTCTATGAAAATTTAATAAAGAGGATGACACTAGAGAAAATGAAATAAGTAGATGCCCACAATACAAAAGGTCAAAATAAAAACATTCTTTTTACAATGCTCTGTCAAAGTGCACTGACCTGAAGAAGATTCCCCTCAAACTGGGGAGGGGGGAGAGGAGAACGAAAGAGCGGTAGTTAGTTAAAAAATTCGTAGAATGGATCACCAACCTGTAGTTCTCGCAGCTCAGGAAATCCCGCGGCCAGCTCACGGGCGTACGGGTAGCCCTCGTCCATGTCCAAACCCAGTGCGTGCAGCCGCTTCAACTGGGCCAGGATCGCCAGAGGAGAGCGCCCCTCAGAGTCGCGGAGGGGACCGCCGGCTGCAGCAGCCTCGTCGCCCTTGTCGAACTGCAGGCTGTGCACCTCGCGCACGCAGTCGCGGCTGCGCCACAGCATGTCCAGCAACGCCACCCGGGCGGCCCGGGGCAGAATCTTCCACCCAATGGCGTCGAAGTACAGCTGTGGATGCAAGAAAGTTCAGGTTTATTCATTTCCGAGTTCGTTTCTTCCTTCTGAAGGTAGAGCAATTAACCCCGATTAACCCACACACACAGCGACCAAATTTGGTGAAACTAAAGTCTAAGTACTCTACCTACTGAATGAGTCGACAGAACGGAACCGAACTTCGTATATACTTAATTGAAGTCTATTTATATTTTAAGATTCAATCTGTTTCTGTACAGTTAATCTAGAATTTCTTGTTTTCTCCCATAACCTACATCAATGTCATGCATGCTTAAGGTGGAGAGTGCCTGACTCGTAAATGAGATTGTTAAGGGGAGGTTCTGGTGAAAATGCTATTTTCTTCTACTATATAGGTCCCACTGTGAAAATTTGTTAAAAATTTGATGTCTTATCAAATATTTATTAAAAATTTTCATTGGGGAGGCACATTCTATGCCCTGAACCCAGTCGCAGAGCCTTTTTCTCCCATTTAGGCTATAACTTTAAAAATCTTCTTGCGCATGCTATTTTGTCGTAAAAGGTTGGCTTAGACATTTTTCACTTCTTCGATTCATTTTTTAAAAATGCCAGCATGCACATTTCAAAATGTCAATTGCATTTTTATTCGCAAGCTTTCTAACCAAGCATGTCACTGTAATTGATCAAAAATGTACAAAATAGACAAATTTTAGGGACTTTTCAGCTTTAAAAGCTAATAACTAATAATATAATGGAAGTTTTGAGCTCTGCATGCCGGAATCTTTTGAAAATGAGTCGAAGAAGTGAAAAATGTCAAGGTCAACCTTTTACGACAAATTAGTATGCGCAAGGAGATTTTTTAAGATACAGCCAAAATAGGCTCAAAAAGACAATTCGACTGGGTTTACAGCCTGGCATGTGCCTTCAAAAGTCAAATTTTAGTCTCCTCAATGAAAAATTTTATATTCCGAACAAATTATGACTGTAGGATCCATTTGGAAAATGGCAAGATTTTCACCAGAACCTCCCCTTAAGCATTTAAGGGGGGACCCTGGTGAAACTTTCAAGTAGGCTTTAAAATAATCCCAGAAAGTTGAAACTTTGCTTTATTATTAGGTTCATTATGGTGAGTATCCAAAACAAAATTCAATCCAAAATGTTGAACGGTCTCTGAGAAAAGTTCCACTTTAGTGTTTATGAGAGCGTTGGGGAAAAATCTTCCTGCGTCTTTCATTGGGACGGAAAGTCTTGAAAATTTTTTTTGAGTTATCCTTAAGATGTATGAAAGAGATTTTAGTGACGGAATATTCACATTCAACTTGTGTCCTGAGATACAATTTTTTTAATTTTAACATATCAAAAAAGTGAGTCATTTGCCTATTTTTCAAACTTCTTTGTGATTGTAAAATAAAGAAGGGCTGATATAAAGATTCCGTCACTGGGAGTTGTCGACAAGTAATCAAAGAATAGAGTCCATGCAAGATGACTCATGTACATGCGGACCAGGAACGCAGGAAGTCTTTCTACGTCAAAATTTTTTGTCGACTGAGCAAAGTTGTTAAGTTGAGCGTATAAGCCAATGACAACTGATCTTTATGTTATTTCTTTCCAAATGATAAAGAAACTACCCACTTAGCTTAAAGGTGTTCAACCTGTTGAATCTTAAGCCTTCTATGCACTTTTTTTTACATATGGACTTTAAAAATACTATTTTTGGCAATTTTGGCCATTTTTTCACCAGGGTCCCCCCTTAACAAAAGTACAGACACTAAGAGTGCAGACATTAAGTACGTAACGCATTGTAGGACCATTTTTATCCCCTCCCCTGATATAGAGAGGTGTAACTCTGACCTAAACTTCAAACTATGAAGTTTTTTGACACCTGTACCATAAGATAGAACTCGTCGAGACCAATCCAATGGTAAAGTTGTCAAAAAGGGTCAAAGTTCAGCGCTTGGGACCAAATATCATTGTAAGGTCAGGTGGGATAATTATGGGACACGAGGTAAAAATGGGACAGCTCTTTCTTGGTCATGATTTGATATTTTAAAACTCATGCCATACCAAACGAGATGCTTTTAAGGGGAGGTTCTGGTGAAAATGCTATTTTCTCCTATATAGGTCCCACTGTGAAAATTTGTTAAAAATTTGATGTCTTATCAAGTATTTATTAAAAATTTTCATTGGGGAGGCACATTCTATGCCCTGAACCCAGTCGCAGAGCCTTTTTCTCCCATTTAGGCTACAACTTTAAAAATCTTCTTGCGCATGCTATTTTGTCGTAAAAGGTTGGCTTAGACATTTTTCACTTCTTCGATTCATTTTTTAAAAATGCCGGCATGCACATCTCAAAATGTCAATTGCATTTTTATTCGCAAGCTTTCTAACCAAGCATTTCACTATAATTGATCATAAATGTACAAAATAGACAAATTTTAGGGACTTTTCAGCTTAAAAAGCTAATAACTAATAATATAATGGAAGTTTTGAGCTCTGCATGCCGGAATCTTTTGAAAATGAGTCGAAGAAGTGAAAAATGTCAAGGTCAACCTTTTACGACAAAATAGTATGCGCAAGGAGATTTTTTAAGATACAGCCAAAATAGGCTCAAAAAGACTCTTCGACTGGGTTTACAGCCTGGCATGTGCCTTCAAAAGTCATATTTTAGTCTCCTCAATGAAAAATTTTATATTCGGAACAAATTATGACTGTAGGATCCATTTTGAAAATGGCAAGATTTTCACCAGAACCTCCCCTTAATGTGAAAATAACATTTGGTATGGCATGAGTACTAAAATGTCAAAACTTAACCAAGGAACAGCTGTCCCGCATTTTTACCCCGTGTCCCATAATTACCCCAACTGACCCTGTCGACGATAGTTTACCTTGTGCAACACCACGGCCTTGGAGCGAGTGAAGGCCGACACCATCCAGCGGTCCCATTGGCTGCCGATGTTGATGCGTCGCACGGCGGGCGCGTGGAGCAGCACGCGGGCGTCCACGGGGGGAGTCTCCTTCTCGGCCTCAGTGCGGCAGTACTCGCGGCCCCACACCGCCACGCCCTCCCAGGCCCGGGGGTCGCGGCTGAGCTTCTGCCAGCGCTTGCACACGAGCGGCACCACGTCCAGCAGCGCGGTGCCGGAGAGCGGGGCGAAGATGCGCAGCATCACCTCGTCCGACAGGGCCTCCATGCTCATTCGACCTGCAACGACGGACATGCCATGAAAAATAAATTCATGGGACGCAAGATCCGCTGAAGAAACTGCTGCCGATGATAACAAAGATTCGTCGTGAATTAACAAATAATCTGCATAGATCCACAAAAGGTCCATACCCTACACGTAAAAACGGTTCCTGGTTTTCCCAGAAGCTCCCTGGAAATCGCCTATGTATCTACCACAGGCTTCCTGGGAAAACCAGGTTCCTTTTTTGTCGTGTAAACGGGGTACCTTTATTGGCTGAGCGATAGCGAAGCCCTTGCCGTGTTTGGGCGCGCTGAAAAGTGACTGGTCGTGCGTCTGTCTGTCTGTCTGTGAGTCTGTTTGTACTCACCAACGATTCTCAGCAACTACAGTGGCTATAGTTTCAAGATTTCGTATTTAACGTCGCCTTAGTACCCCCCAACACGAGTTTGTTTCAAATCGTTGTTTAGTGTCGTTTGAAATATTCAAAACATATTTTTGAATCAGGTCATTAGCGTGGTTAGGTTGGCAGCGCGGCAGCGCTCACCAATTTCTCATACCTGCGGGTCCGCGGCTCTCAAATACGGGACTTAAGCAAATAAGCAAATAAAACGAAATAAAGAGCAGAAGGGTTTGGAAATGAGATCGGCCTTATTTTTCAACATTCTTGAATGATTAAAACCCTTTTGGAACACCAACACAGCGAAATATGGAGAATGGATTCGAAAATGATTTACGTGTTTCGTTCCCCTCTCCCCCCTCCCCTGTCAGAGGGGAATCATCTTCAGGTCAGTGCACTTTGACAAAGCATTGTAAAAAGGATGTTTTTATTTTGACCTTTTGTATAGTGTGCATCTTCTTATTTCATTCTAGTGTCATCCTCTTTTTAAAATTTTCAAACTAGAGGAAATCAGGGAAATGCATAAATAACTTGTGTTGAAATTGGCAGGCATACTTAGTTTGGACTCGAGAAATACATTCTATTGCAATGCTGCAAGCTGACAAGAGTGCAAAAGTACTAACATGAGTTTATTAATAGAATCAATATATGGTTGTGTATATTTAATCCTAATGGAGTTTGAATTGATATTGGTTTCAAAGAGACGACTCAGGTTTTGAGCGGTGAGTGAATTGGTGATTGGATTTAGTGAGACGATTCCTTTAACTTCACCAAAGTTAATATAACTGGTACTACTCAGTATTGTTTACATGAGTAAGATAAATTATGTCGGTTCATTAAGCCTTGGGTAGCCTTGGCATTGGACTCTATGAGACGAATCACTGGATTTTACAATAATTGGCCCCCGTTAACTGGTTTAGATCAGCCTACCCTAAACTGACTCTCTTAATATTTACTGTGATAACATGTTCCAATCAATATTGTTTTATTGACTGGTTCAAAATGAAAGAATGACAAAATGTTTCATAAATATAACTTATAAAATTGTGAGTTCATTAGTTAAGAAAAAAGATTTATCGAATAGGGACCCAAGCATACGAGTAGCCAATTAAGCGATTCAATGCTGGCAATTGAATTTTACTCGACTGAGGGATTCGCTTTGGTGTGGCATCAGGGAATTGGTGACGACAGATGGTGCTTCATGAAGACAAATAGGAACAATATACAGCAATTGAGTCTAAAGTATTGTATGTAGTTTGCAGTGTACTGGTCACAAAATCTACATTTATTTCAATGCCAATCCTACATTTTCATCAAGAGCTACGAAATTTGGGGCAAAACTTTCCAAGTTGAGATTTATGTATTTCCCTGTAGTTTTCAGTGCGCTGACCTCAATATTGACATCTTAATTGTCCCCTGTTGTAATTTGATTTGGAGTTTAGTTCTATTGTCTGAATTTAGCTGATGATACACGATGAGGGAGCGGGAGCAAAAGAACACGACACGAACACTCTGGAGTCTGGACAGGAAGTGAGCATTTATTTAACATGGCTGCTGCTGGAGAAAGGAAATGCAACAGTGACAAGTGCAAGCAATTACACACAGGCAGTGACTATGATAATTAGTGCATGACTTATTATGTGCAGTATGAGAAGATGGTACAGCGGCAAATACAAATATACATTTATACAGATAGGCAGATTCAGTGGGGAATTTAAATGTAGAGGGTTAATCTTATATTTACAACACCCTCCCTTAACCCGATAATATTTAATTTCATAACATATTTAAATTTTTACAACAGTTCTCATGCTTAACTCTATCCAATGGTTTAGTGAGGATGTCAGCTGGCATTATTTGGGTTGACATGTGTTCCAGCCATACTTGGCCGGACTGGACTGAGTCCCTCACTAACTCCATTCGGACACCAAAATGTTTTGTTCTTGCACTAAAACCACTACTGTAAGCAATTGTCAAAGCACTAGTATTATCATTGAAAATTGTCACGGTTTGATCTTCACCAATGAACATATTTTTGACTAATTCATTCAGGTACACAGATTCCTTAACTGCTTCAGTGATAGCAATATACTCCGACTCCGTAGAGGACTGAGCAGTAAGTTTCTGCTTTTTACACTCCCAAGATATAATGTGATTGTCTAAAGTGAAGCAATATCCACTGTAAGACTTATAATCTACAGGGTTACCCGCCCAGTCAGCATCTGCATACCCCAATAGACAGAACGAAGGGTTATCACATTTCACATAGTTTAATCCTAGTCTCGGTGTAGCCTTCAGGTAAGCCACCACTCGTACTGCCAGTTGCCAATGGGTCCTGGTGTAGCAGTTGTTGAACTGACCCAAGAAACTGACAGCATAAGAGATGTCTGGCCTGGAACACACACTCAAGTACAGTAGACAGCCAATTAACTCTCTGTAAGGGAGATTTCTCTTTGGACCAAGTTTGACTTTTTCTATTTTTAGCTTCTTTTCCATTGGGGTGTTAAATTTTGTCACATTTCTCAGATTGAACCTTGATAGTATTAGGTTTATGTAATTTTCTTGGTGAATTAACAAAGTGCCATTTTCCCAGTCTCTTTCAATTTGCATGCCAAGGCAATTCTTTAAATCACCTAAGTCCTTTATTTTGAAGTGTAGGGAGAGCATCTTCAATGTCTGTCTCTTACTTTCCTCCCTGTTATAGAATATGTAGAAGTCATCTACATACAATGCTATGATCACATATGATTCTCCACAGACCTTAATATATACACAGGGTTCATCATAGAAATTTTTAAAGTTTTGTTCTTTTAATATTTTGTCCGCCTTGAGGTTCCAGCTTCTCGCAGATTGTTTTAGGCCATATACAGCTTTATTTAGTCTGCATATCATGCCTTCACACCCCTCAGCGATGAAGCCCTCAGGCTGAGCCATGTAGACCGTTTCTGAGAGGTCTCCATTTAAAAATGCTGTCTTGACATCCAAATGACCAATTCTCAAGTTATGGTTCACCGCTATTGAGAACAATATTCTGAGTGTTGTTCTGCGCACCACTGGTGCATAGACTTCACAATAGTCTACACCATATGTTTGGGTGTAACCTTTCGCAACAAGTCTTGCTCTGTATAGTAATGTCCCATCAGGGTTTGTTTTTCTTTTAAACACCCATCTATTTCCCACTATTTTTGCTTCTATTTTTGGTTTTTCTAATGTCCATGCATTGCACAAATTGAATGAATTTAATTCATCCAGCATGGCTTCAGCCCATAGGTTTCCCTCAGGACCGTTTAATGCTTCTTGAGCCGTTTTTGGGAGGTCTGTGTCCAGATCTATAATTTGTTCAGAGATCTGAGTACCTTCATGAATATTGTCCTCATTATTTGTTTCTGTTCTGTTTTGGGCGGTCTCATTGCAGGCCAATAAACTCTGGTTTTTGTTACCATATAATATAAAGTCTGGGAATTTCTTAGGCGTTCTGGTTCTTTTCTTAATTTCTTCAAACTCTACTTCAGTTGAGACTGAGTTGACACTGAGGTTGTCAAAACCTGCAAAACTGGAGGTTTCTGAAGAGCTTCTGGCGCTCACTGTTTCATCTGTTTCTGGCACACTGGTTGTGGAATATTCCTCAGAAATGTTCAGTGTCAGCCTTTCAGTTCTATCTGAGGATCTGGAAGCACCACTAGTGCTTGTCGAGTCACCTGAGTCGCTTCTGTTGCTACTAGGGACCATTCTTTTATATTTTGTCATAACTAGTTCTGTGGATGGATCTGCATTTGTTTCTGAGTTATTATTTTGATTGCTAATTCTGATGTTTTCTCTACCCAGTTCCATTTCCTTAGCTGGGAATCTGTCCTCATTGAAAGTGACACTTCTCTCCACAAAAATATTCCTCGGCTGGTTTAGATCGAGAAGTCTGAAACCCTTTTTCTCTTCATCATAACCCATGAAGATACAATTTCTGCTTCTATGTCCCAGCTTTTTGCTCTTTTTCTTACTGATATGAACAGAGGCTAAGCAACCAAAGATTTTTAAGCTTTCCACATTTGGCTTTACACCGGTCCAGGCATGGTAAGGAACCATTCCCTCGACTGCTTTTGTGGGACTGATATTTTTAAGGTAAACAGCCATTTCTAGAGCTTCAGCCCAGTATTTGTCACTGAGGCCAGATTCACTGAGTAGTGCCCTAGCTGTCTGGAGTAGGGTGCGGTTTGCCCTTTCAGCAACTCCGTTTTGTTCTGGTGTATCTACGACTGAGAGTTGTCTGATAACTCCCTCCGCTTTGAAATGATCATCAAACTTTGTATTGCAATACTCCGTGCCATTATCTGATCTCAATATTTTTATCTTTTTCTCAGTGTGCCTCTCGACCAATGTTTGGTATGATCGGAATTTGTCAAACACTTCTGATTTGTTCTTTAAAAGACCAATCATAGTGTATCTTGTTTTGTCATCAATGAATGTCACAAAATATTTGTGTCCCCATAGGGATTGCATGTCTGAGACTTCGCATACATCTGAGTGTACAATTTCGAGCAGTTTGGTTGCTCGGTTAGCCCCACCTTTTGGCAGTGGTGCTCTGGTTTGTTTTGTTATCGTACACGTCTGGCATGGGTCTGTACCAGTCGTGACATTAGGTGGGATACCATCCACTAGTCCGCTTCTCAAATTCAACCAATTATTTTTGCCAATATGGCCAAATCTTTTGTGCCACTGATTGTACTGTTTATCAGAACTTGCCTTAAGGGCCATGTGATTTTTAATTATCTCTAAGTTGACCTTATATGTTCCATTGTTTTCAATTGCCTTTAAAATTGGCTTGCCTTTAATTGTGATATCTTCCCTTCGGAACACACCACCATAATTATCAACAAATACTGTGACTAAATTACTTTTGGCAATGGTACTTACAGATAGTAAATTACTACTTAGCCCTGGAACATACTTTACTTTAATCTCTGAAAGGCCATTATATTTTTCAGCATCTAGATGGATGGTACCTGCACCTTCAGTGTGAAGAACTTCTCCACCTGCACACTCGATGGATTCTCTTGGATGTGGACTATAGTTGAGCATGTATGTTTTGTCACCCAACAAGTTATCAAAGGAACCACTATCCAAATACAGAGAAACAGTTTTATTATTATCATTAGCATTTTCAACTCTCAACACTTTAGCATTTGTAGTCAATTTCTGGTCAGTAGCTCTTTTGGCCAAATTAACTTTCCACACAGGTGGCCCTGTTGCTCCCTTTACTTCTTTCTTACCTAACCCCAACCTATTGTTAGGGTTTTCGGGATTGAACCAGCACTCGCTCTCGGGATGGTTTGTTTTCTTGCAGAACCGACACGCTGGGTAGGTGCCTTTGCGGGCAGGTTCATCGTCTGTCGTCTGCTGCTGGGCTTGTTGTTGTTGTGGCGGACGCCACGGTCTGCTGGATCCTCGTCCCTGGCCGCCATGTTGGAAACCACGGCCTCCGCGATGTCCGCCCCGACCTCTGTAGCCGCGACCGCCGCGACCTCTGCCGGCGCCGCCACGGTGATCGTATGGGTGGTGGCGGTATTGCTGCTGCGGCTGTTGTTGCTGCTGATGAGGCGCGCGCGAAACTTTGAGCGCCTGGTTTGAGATGGCGTCCTCCGTTTTCAGGCGGGTTCCCTCCCTGAGAAGTTCCGCAAGGACCTTCTCGAAGGGAAGGAATTCTTCGCCGTGCTCGTCGGCCTCCTGGCAGGTCCTCTCGAGCAGTTGGCAAAAGGGAACATGTTCTGGTTTTACCCCTTGGAATAGGAGTACACACAGCAGATCTTGGTCCTCGATAGGCCGTCCCGTCTCCATAATACGCTGCACCGCAGCCTGGAACTCCATGGTGTATTCCTTTAGCCCCTGAGTCTGGCGCAGTGAGGTGAGGGCCTTGAGGAGCCCGGCCCTCCTGCGGGCGCCCTTGTCCTCGAACACGGCGCAGAGCTTCTTCCACATTGTGAAAGCATTTGTGGCTCCAGCCACATGGGTGAGGAGGTGCTCCTCGACTCCGAACAGGATCTGCCGGCACACCCACTGGTCCTTTCGTTGTTCCTCCGGCGTCCGCTCGCCGTCCTCTCTTGGCGCGTTGTTGATGAAGCCGACGTACTCGAAAAGATGCGCGGTCATCAGCATCTTCCACGTAGCCCAATTTTCTTCACCACGGAGCTTCTTGAACGGTGGAGCTCCGTTGCTGCTGAGAACGGTGGTCTCGATCATCTCCTCTTGGCTGCCGCTGCTCCCGTCGTCCTCGGTCTGTCCTCGGGTATTCCTCTTTGGCGGCATCCTCCACGAGGTTTCCTAACCTCAAACCGCACAGCTCACTTATAATTGATTTTCACTGAATTCTTTCACTTCACTAATATCACGCAGTGGTCAGCGGGGCCTGGGCCCATAACCTGTTGTAATTTGATTTGGAGTTTAGTTCTATTGTCTGAATTTAGCTGATGATACACGATGAGGGAGCGGGAGCAAAAGAACACGACACGAACACTCTGGAGTCTGGACAGGAAGTGAGCATTTATTTAACATGGCTGCTGCTGGAGAAAGGAAATGCAACAGTGACAAGTGCAAGCAATTACACACAGGCAGTGACTATGATAATTAGTGCATGACTTATTATGTGCAGTATGAGAAGATGGTACAGCGGCAAATACAAATATACATTTATACAGATAGGCAGATTCAGTGGGGAATTTAAATGTAGAGGGTTAATCTTATATTTACAACATCCCCTAACCCAAAATTTAACCGATTTTCGGTTAAATTTTTTGAAATGAATTGTACAGTGATTCTTGCAGTTTTTTGAGTGCTGATAACGAAAATAACTCCCATTTTAATACCAGACCTATATTTTCATCCCATACTAGGTCATTTTGGACCAAAAATTTCAAGTCAAGTTTTATATTGTTTCCTGCAGTTTTTTGTGTGCTGAACTCAAAAATGACTTCCAAAATTTTCCCAGACTCACACTTACCCGAATTTTGACCAATTTTGGACCAAAATTTTTAAATTGAGTTTCACGTTGATCCCAGCAGTTTTTGGTGTGCTGATAACAAAAATCACTTTCATTTCGACTCCAGACTTATATTTTCATCGCAAATTAGATCATTTTGGACCAAAATTTTTATGTCGAGTTTTACATTGTTTCCTGCAGTTTTTGGTGTGCTGAACTCAAAAATGACCTTCAAACTTTTCCCAGACTCATATTTAACCGAATTTTGACCAATTTTGGACCAAAATTTTTAAATCGAGTTTGACATTGATCCGAGCAGTGTTTGGTGTTCTGATAACGAAAATCACTTCCATTTGTACCCCTGGTCTAAAGATCAATGAATATGAGCCCATAAGATGGACATTTCGTCTACTCAAGCAAAAACCAAGTGCACGAAAAATGTCAATTCGCATCGCTCAGCCACACTACGCGCCCAGACTGAACGGCGCGTACCCCTAGTTTAGTGAGTGGAGTAGTTACTGTGTTACTGTGTTAACACATCAACTTTTTGCTACTTTTTTCTTCACGCAAGCTATAAGGGGCACTATACTCAAAATGTAAGGGCATGGAAGGGTTCAGAAAAACCAGCGTCAAATGGAAACCAATGAAGCTAGAGATCTGAAATACTATGATGTTGTTAAGATCACAATGAGGCAGCAAATGCACGTGTCGCGCGGTGCCTCTAAGGCGCCCCTTGCCGTCCTGCAGGGTTTGCTCAAGTCCTGTACGACATGCTTAGACGGTGTCAACTCTAACAGACGAACGCGGTGGCCTACACTGCAAAAAATCAGTGTCTGATACGGAGCATGCTACGACGTTCTGTTTACCCCCTGAAATGGTGATACGGACATCTGCCGTACCACTTTTCTCATAAGAGCCTGTGCTTTGTAAAGCGTGGTACGGAAATTTAACGGAAAAATTACCGCCAATTTTAGACCGGAGGTTGCCGTTTCGGTTTTCCGTTTGTGAAATAGTCCAAAATGCTCTACGGACTGTGAGACACGGACGTTCCGTAACGCAAACGGCCACTCCGTAGGGATACGGACTGGCCGTCACACGTTATCCGTTACAGAACTTGGAGTGACGTAGCGTCCGTTCCTCACAGTCCGTAAAGCATGGGCTTTTTCACAAACGGAAAACCGAAACGGCAACCTCCGGTCTAAAATTAGCGGTAATTTTTCCGTTAAATTTCCGTACCACGCTTTACAAAGCACAGGCTCTTATGAGAAAAGTGGTACGGCAGATGTCCGTATCACCATTTCAGGGGGTATGCGGAACGCCGTTAGCATGCCCCGTATCAGACACTGATTTTTTGCAGCGTATTTCACTTTTCACAAGATAATACTCTAGCTGCAAGCAAGAGTATTTGGCGAATTTTCCGGGGGCCAGAACGTTTTTTTCTGATACACCCTAGACCGACCTACAGCCAAGCCGCTGTATGAGCGCGGTGTGATGCCCGTGACTGTCAGCTTTGTTCTTTTACATTATGAGAAAAAAGTACGGAACATGTCTGGTCAATAATTTACCTGGACCGTCCGTAGTACTTGCCAACTACGGAACGTTCCGTACTTTTTTTCCGTACCCATTTACAGGGGCTCATATGGAGCAAGTACGGAACGTTCCGTACTTTTCTCCGTACCTCCGTACTATATTTTTCTGTACCATTTCCGTACAATAGTACGGAATTTTTTAGTGTACTCACTGGGGTCCGGTGTTCGAGTTTCACTTCTCCTTGCAGGCCGGCCGGAAAGCGCTGAACGGCGCTGGAGCAAGCCTGGACGAAGACACACGCCGTTGTGGAGGAACGCGAAGAGCAGTGCTTGCGGCAGCGGTTGCGTTGCTTGCTTGACCACGGGCAGGTAGACGACTGAAGACTGAAGGCCCCCGGGGGGGGGGGGGGGGGACGCAGCGTTGCCAGAAGCCGAACGGCGCTCGGTGGTACGGGGAGGGGGGTAAAGGTGGTCTTCGGGGCTCTTCGGTGGTACGCGAGGGGTGGGGAAAAGGTGGTACACTCTCAGCACGTTACTGACTTTTGACTCATTTTCTCAGTATGCAAGCAATTTGTGCAACCATAATGCGTACTTTTCCCTTTTAAAAGAACTACTTAGAAAATATTCAACAATGTATACTGAGCATTTTGTTTTGTACATAATTTTACAAAGGACATTTGTCATATACTTACTAAGAAAATACTAAGTATTATTGCTGTTTATACGAATACGTAATTAATGAGGAAGAAGTCAGTTACGTGCTGTACATTGGAGCCGTATAGTGGTACGAGGAGGGGGGTGGGGTATTATTAAAGGCTAGGGTCATTTGGGGTAATTATGGGACACGGGGTAAAAATGGGACAGCTGATTCTTAGTCAAGAGTCGAGATTTTAGAACTTGTGCCGTAGCAAATGTTATCTTTACAGTATAGAAACATCACATTTGGTGTGCCATCCCAGGTCTGAAAATCCGCTACTAAGGGGTAAATTTCACATCCGGTAAGAACGGGATCCGCTGCCACACACCGGATCCGATTTCATACAGGATCCTGTATCGAACCGGATCCGGTGTGTGGCAGCGGATCCTGTTCTTACCGGATGTGAAATTTACCCCTTTAAAGCGGATCCGGTGTGACCACAGTGGATCCGCTTTCACTATAGCGGATCCGGTGGTCACCACAGCGGATCCGGTGTCAACATAGCGGATCCGGTGTCAACATAGCGGATACGGTAACCACAGAGGATGGCCTTAGCGGATCTTGTATGATCTTAGTGGATCCTTTAAGAAATTTTAACTCTGAAAAGAGGGTTCCGGGTTAATGAAACCGAGTCCGATCCGAATCTGCAATCCGTTTGTCGCTATCATCGGCGGTTTTAAAGATAGCGAAGTTATGTTGTTGAATTGCAAAGATATTGAAATGGCCCTAGTGAATTCTCATCAATAAACCCTGTACCAATTTTGAGGTCAAAATACCAAAAACTTTCGATTTTATAGCCGCTTTATTTTTGGAAATCCGTAGAGGATCCGCTGAGGTTAGTGGATCCGGTAGAGCTGAGCGGATCCGGTATGGCTGTAGTGGATCCGGTATGGCTTTAGAGGATCCTGTACAGAGCGGATCCTGAATAGCCTCAGCGGATCCTGTCCTTAGCGGATCGTAGAGGATCCGGTGCGGCCAAAGCGGATCCACTGTGCCCCATAGAGGATCCACTAAGAGCATAGCGGATCCACTACGACCTTAGTGGATCCCGTAAAGACTAAGCGGATCCGCTGTGGGCAGAGCGGATTTTCAGACCTGGGCGCCTTCAATAATGTCAAATCTTGACAGAATCACGTGTCCCATTTTTACCCCATGTCCCATTATTACTCCAACTGACCCTACGCCAGGCGTAAACATCGTGAATTGAGAATTAGGGAATTAAATTGAGAATTCTGAAACAGCCGGCCGCGGCTCCTCCAGCTGGTGAACAAGCAGGCCCGTTTTGTTGTTGTTGCCGTTGCCCGCGTGCCTAGGGCGGGGCTCAAAAGTGGCACCGCACTTTCAGTTTCCCGCACCCGACCTGACGGATCAGGGCCCCTTTCCTCGGAAAAGGTCACGAACGCAGGCAAAGGATTACATGCTCGACTTCTGGGCGGCGACTACCCGGCCCAGGCGCCCGAAAAGTTCCATTTGCCTGGATGCGGACCTAATCCGGTGTTTTCCCCGAAAAGGTGGTACGGAATCGCTCGGAGGTGGCACGGTGGTACGGGGCCCGAAATCGTGGTACATGTACCACCAAGGTGGTACGTCTGGCAACGCGTTATGGGTATGCCTTGAAGCACCCCTTTCCCGAGAACTCTCCTGCGCCAAGAGGAAGATCTCCGAGGAAATGAGGACGCCTGGTCCAAAAAAAAGGTCCGTATTGGAAATGATGAGTGTGACGCGTAACGCCGCGTAACGCAGTAACTTTGCAGACTGCCGCACCCACACAGTGGGCCAGAAGACCGGTGGAGGCGGCCAAAACTCTAGACGCGTTTTGAGCTCCCGAGTCGCTGAATGGGACTCGAAACGAACGTGTGACTCCACCAATGGATTCCTCGTACGAAGAGTAATCAGTTGGCGGGGTCGCACGTTCGGTTCGAGTCCTGTTTAGCCCACTGAGCTCAAAACGCTTCTGGAGTTTTGGCCGCCTCCACCGGTCTTCTAGCCCACTGTGACCCGCGACTCTCATCTCCCGCGGTCCACTAGCCTACCCTTGTGTTCGAATATGTGTGGGCTTTGAGCAAACTGAACGAATAGCGCTTCGCCTAGCTTCACCTGTCTGCGTCTCTCTCGCACTCCGAGTCTCGGCAGGCCAGGTTCGAGCACGGCGCCACTTCACTACCCTCAGATGATCGCCCTTCATTGTGGTGAGCCACCAACACGGACCGCATGGACTTGTTGCCTTGCAGGGAACTCCTAGTAAGGCGTCACACACCAGCCATCAAACGTCACACGCCAGCTATCAAAATTTTCAAGATGTTTCAACTTTGTAAGAGCTTTGAAATTTGGCCCAGAAGTCCCATTGCTGCCAAGAGCACAAAATTAACGATTAACGCAGTTGCAGAGGCGTGAGTCGTTAGCGAGGGGTGAATCACTCAGCGATCTGGTGTATACACATGAGTGCATGATGGGCGAGTACACCTTCACTGATAAATATTTTGTCGTAACTTAGCAACACATTTAGCACTAATTTTTTTAGCGACAAGATTTGTTGTGGAACGAATAGCTGGCTGAACTATGTTCGTACTGGAACTAAAGGATAATTTCACAACACATCAACTGTCCACTTTCAAAAACAAGTCGTTGATTAACAACAACAAATGTTGTTAGTCAAAAACAAGTATTGTAAGTCGATAAAGATTTTGTAATGTCTGCGACAAGTATTCATTGAGTACTTTTGTCGCTAAATTTAATTTGCATGGTTCTACTTTTAACAATTGTAATTTCTCTGTGACTTAAAAGCACAAAATAGATGATTATTCATAATATACTTTAATTGAGCAGAAAATGACAAAAGATGTTGTTTCCACACAAATTGTATCGTTAAGTGTGATAACAAGAATTTTATTCTTCAACGACAAATTGTCGCTCACTAAATTCAACAACATTTGTTTCACTTCGTTTCACTTTGGTTCATGATGAAATTCTATGTTTTGGAACGACTAAATTTTCACTCATCTGATTGTTTCTCATTTCTCATTTTTTAACAGTGTTCTAACACTCATAAATTTCACATATTTAAAAGTTTTTTTGGCTTGTTTTAGCGGTTTAGACGGTACGCAACGCCAAATCGCGTAAAAACTGAGCGAATTTTGCTCTTTTTAAACTTGTGGGTACACTGAGTACGGACTAATTTGTACACCACATGAGTCATTCACCACTCGGTCGTTAGGGCACAGTTTTTACGCCTTTGAGTCCCTAGTGAAGTTTTCAGAATGCCCTGGGGCGGATGGGGTTTGCGCCGCTCCAATCGTCGTCTCTAGGTCGAAGTCCGAAGTTTCTGGCGGTTGTCGGACTGCTGCAAACAAAATAAGAAGTCGATGAGAAGTTTAAATTGCTCGTCCATTTTTCGTACGAGGGAGTTGCGCAACCGTTACAGCCTAGAGTGGCCCAGAGGACCAGTGGAGGCGTCAAAATCCCAGACGCGTTTTGAGCTCCAGAGTCGCTAAATGAGACTCGAACCGAACGTGTGACCCCACCAATGGATTGCTCTCCGAACGGGGAATGAATTGGTGGGGCCACGCGCTCGGTTCGAGTCCTAATCAGCTACTCTGGAGCTCAAAACGCGTCTAGAGTCTTAGCCTTCGGTGCCGGTCTCCTGGCCCGTTGTGCGGCTCTTGCTTACAGGTGTGGTGGTGATTCATCGACGCGTCGCGCTGGCGTCATGGAAGGCATCTCTGCGCTGCCGACACCTCGCACGAGCAGCCAAAGCCTCACCGTGAAGAAGTACAGCACCTCGACGGCACTCATGAAGCTGCAGCCAAGGAACAGGCTGAAGATACCTCCAAACGATGCTGCAACATGTCAAAGTAGGGTCAGTGCGGGGAAAAACTGGACAGGGGAAGAACTGGACACCCCACATTTTACTTCAAGTATCGTATGCACAGGCTTAAGGTAGTAGAAACGATGCATGCTAGTCAACTGAGTGACTAAATGTAAAGAGTTTGTTGAGAAGCCAAAATTATTTCTAAAATCAAATTTTAATTTTTAAAGGACACTAATGCTAATTTTGTCTTTCAAAAAATCTTTTTTAAATTAAAATACGAGAAATAAGTATGTATTTGACTAGCTTTCAGCCGTCAGGGCCGTCCAATCCAACATGCCGACGAGAAAAATGACATAGGTTATGAGAAATAGTTTCACCTTCGAAATTCCTCCGTTCATCATTTCGTGGACGTCTTTCATTTAAAAAGAAAAGAATAATTGAATAAATTGAAGATGCAATGGATCATCGATAGTTCCCTCGCCCTCCCTAAAGACAATTTTCGCGTCGTTAGGTTGGCTACAGATATCTGGCAACGTCGCATCCGCTTCTCTGTGTTTACTTCTGCTGCCCGCACTTAGTTGGTTAGAGATGGCTCCCGCAGTAAAAGACAGGAAAAGTGGTAGATTTACCAAAAAATCCATTGCCCAGTGGAAAGAAAACATAAGTACTTGTCAGAAGCAAATTTGGACTGATGTTAGGGCGAAACGAAGAACACGGAAGGCAATGTTGTGCACCTCGGGGAATATAACCTCCGCCATGCGTCGTGTTACCGAGCTGCAACAACTTGCACAAGATTTGTGGTGTTATAATTGTAATTTCCAACTGTCATTGAGAGACTATGTGCCGGGCTCCGAAAGAAAGTATGGGCTGGCGTCTAAGATCGATGT